TAAAACCTCTGCATGTCTTGGCTTCCCCTCCATACCTAGGAGGAGGTGTTAAATGGGGCGAAGTATTGGGTGAATTGGATACTTCGGGAGGATGGGGTGTAGGAGGGTTAGGTGCGGTTGCAGGAATAGTTCTAGACAAGAGCGTCTGGAGAGCCTGTGCTATCTGATCCATACGATGATCCTGTTCTACAAACCTTGCCTCGTGAGAAGCCATCTGCTGAGCCAAATCTGCGGGGTCCATGGCCCTATCGTAATGTAACGAGAATATACCCCAACACGCAGGATTCAGCTAAACAGAAGACAACACAGAGGAGAGATACGTCTACCGGACCTTAGAATGGCCGGACTCGACGTATATGAGAGGAGGCAGAGTCAGGAACGATCCGAAGTCAAGGACACAGAGAGACAGCGTAAACTAGGACAAGCCGGGGTCTGGTACACAGTAAACAGCAAGCCGACAACCAGAACAGATAAGGATAAAGAGAAAACGTAGTCAGAAACAAAGCCAAAGTCAATACGGAGAAATACAAGTGAACACAACAAGCGCTAAAGGGAACTGATACAGAAACCACGATAGGGCAGGGAGTAAAGGGAGAGGTAAGTATATATAGCTTTTAAACTAATGTGATTGGCTCCTGTCATATCCACACCCCCAAAAGGTAAGTGTATGGGGAGTGTGGCATGACAGGGGCCAATGGGAGCCTGTAACAATTTAGGCTCCGACTGCCTCTTTAAGAGCGCGCCCGAGACTCGCGGCGCGGTCTTAGATTTAGGCGGGACACATGACCGCTTCTCGCGGTCACTGCCCGCCTTCCTGTTGAGACCGTCGGATGAGCCGCGCGCGGCTCGTGCAGCAGCAGGACCGCGCGCGGCTCGAAGAGAGGACCGCAGCCGGCCCCTGGATAAGGTGAGTAACGCTACACACAGTCCCTCCATTCAGTGTTGCACCATGTTTGTGCAGTATGCCACAAAATAAGAGTCCCTGGCCACCCACAGTCCGGCCCCTTCTGTATGTGTAGCTAAGGCAGAGATTACACACTTCCTTGTTGTCATACCCATTCATACCGTCAGTTGGAACTCTGACAGGTTAAAAGCAGTCAGGTGACACTCTCAGACAATCACAGCTGCCCATTGCTGCTCAGGGTAATACTTCCTTATTAGCCAAAGCAGCACAGATGGGATGGATTGCCTATGACTCTTGTTTAGCATTAAAACATTACAACATGAAGACTGTTTAATGCTGAAAGAAATTATGGCACCAGGGGACTCCATACACTATAACCAGTTTAATGAGATGAAGCAGATACAGTGCCTACGGTGTCCCTTTAAAAGTCATTTAGAAACAGAGAAACCGCAAAATAATTTTCTGAAAGAACTTTCAGGATTTTATGGCTGTGGGAACTGCCTTCTGTGCAGGACAACCAATAGCCATAAAAGGCATCTTACCAATGTCCGTGTAACCTATTATATATAGGTAGAACAATTTGTCCACTAAACATCAGAATTGCGGAACATATCCGCAATAGAAAAAAAGGTCTTGACACACATAGTGAGAAGAGATAATATACATTTTTAATTTCAACACTCTTATACCATAAGGATTAAATTCGGATTTTGAACTTTGCCATTTTTTATGATTTTAAGTTTTTTATCCATGATAAATTAAGATTTAGATTCAGAGGTTTTTAGTTTTAAAAGATTTTCCTTTTAGATCTCTCTCACCTTGTTTTTAGAATTTTAATAATTCATGTTTATATTAATCTATTCAACAACATAATAATTTTTAATTCTTATATTTGTTTTATACACACCCAACTAGCACCTGTCACATTATAATTATGAGCACTGTATACAGTCTGTATTTATATGTGTAATATTATCACTTTTTCTTCTGTAAGCATTCACTATTTTTTAACTGGGAAAAAGTTCTAAAGATGCATTATAGTTTATTTTGAATATACATTTGTAACTTATGACACATTCCTGATACTCTGTGATATATGATGTACATAACGATGTTCCCTTTTTTCTATGTGCCCATGGAACATGTAATGCATAGCAACGGATGTATTATGGACAATAAAGTTTAGTGAAAACTTGGAACGCGACTATGCGTTCCAAATACGGACTGACTGTGATGACATCTTCACGAAGAGACGCGAGATACCGTGTCATTGAAAAAAAGACGGAAGCATATATAAACGACCGGATAAGAGAGAAGAACAAGAAGCAACTGAAGAAGCCTTTTCAACAGGCGAAACGCGTCTTGCAAGTTTATTTTATGTGGACTTTATTTATTATACCACATTTTAACATGTTTTTTTATTTAATTTTTTTTATAATTTTTTGTACCAATAAAGTTTTTCCGTATTTTGGAAATCACGTTCAGTGAACTTATCGGGTCAAAAAAAAAACTTCTACAGCATCATAAAGGGAGTGGGGTCCCTTCTAACTTCCCCACCCGCACCTTTGGTGAGCCTTGCATATAGGCTCCATATTTGTGAGTACCATATTCTAGAGTTACTCATCTGTTTACTGTACCAGGTTTAACTGAATTGCACTAGGCTTTGGCCATGTCTTTTGCAGTGATACCATATGTGAATACCAACTACACTCCACCTTTTTTGTATGTATGCATACACATGTAAACCTACTATACATAGGGAATGTTTACGATTTGTATCTTTACCCAGGTAATGAGCCTGATCATATTTTTTTACAGAGCTAACTCAAAATGATGCCAAAAGTGCATTAAGAACATGAGGGGGAAGACAGTTTACAGGCATAGGCAACCTTCGACATTCAGATGTTGTGGATTGCATTGTGGCTGTAATAGCATTATAGGAGATGGACCTACAGTGTGGGTTCCACTGCAGTACCTCAAATCACCAGCCCTTTAAGTTAATAACCCCGATTGTAAATGCAAAGAGACATTCACACTTTAGCAGTGGTGGAAGTAAATTAGAGAGGGCCCTGGTGCAATAATATTTTTGGGACCCCCTATCGCAAGGATGGAAAAAAAAGTTAGAGCCCTGTCTGTCAAACAACTCCCACAATGCTTTGCCAGCTGGGGATCTACCATTTGCTCATCCTTGCAGGGCTGTACTTAGCAATGCAATGAGCAGTAATTGCACGTTTGAATGTAAGCGTGTTTTTGTATGGAGTTTCTGTGTGTGAATGTAGAGGTGTATATGTGTGTGTTTTGATGTACTGTTGCCATTTGTAATCAGTGGTTTACTTGTGTGTAGTGTTTGCCTTTGAATGCAGGGTCGTATTTGTGTTTAGTGCTGGAGTTTGAATGCTGAGATGTATACACATATACACTGCCACACACAAACATATACAGACACACTGATGCACGCTCTGCAAAATATGTTGGCACTATATAAAAGCCAAAAATAATAAAAACTAATAATACATACACTTGGAGATACACACACGCAGATACACAAGTAGAGACATGCAGATACAGTGGGAGAACATTGTCATCTGACTCCCCTATATAAGGTAAGTACATTCTATTAGCGCTCCACTAAGTGTGTGTTTTTTATGGTGGTGTGTTCCACCTGGTCCACTCTTTCCTGGTATATCTATCTGTGTAAATTGGGATATTTTACACGAGTGTTGAGCTGTTCTATATCTTCTATATTTACTGTTAAGTGCCTTATATATTACACAGAGCACTTGTTTCTATGCAGATACAAGTACACACACATGCAGATACAAATAGGTAAACTTTGATTGAAAAAACTATTTGTTGTCAATCTTTGTTTTTGGCGTGAAGAGGTAAAAAGTTATACACTTTTATAAATTAACCTGGTTATACCCTCTGACTGTCAGTCAGACATCCGGTCCTGTTACTTTCTGGTTCGTTTAGCTCAGTGGAACTAAATTCATGACGCAGCAATTACCCAGAGCACCTCCCTTGCAGAGACTTCTCATTGAGCTGCATTGGGAAGTCTGTGATTGGACAGCCACAGAAAGTCTGGGTGGAGTCAGAAGAGGAGGGCTTCCAAAGGCAGCAGACAAGAAATCTGAGCAATGAAATTTATTTATTTTTTTTAAATTGAAAACCCATCAATAAAAAATATTTGACAAAAAAAAAAAAGTATAATTAAATATTAATGCATATTTTAATTGGGGTATATCTACTAAATTATGTTTTTTGTTTTTTTTTTAATGTGTGCAATGGAGTGTCCCTTTAATAAATAAAACTGCAGATTATTTTATTTCAAGGCCATTTATATGTTATAAGAAACTGACCCATTAATATATCTCTATATAAAACCCATGTTTCCCCCTCCAATAATAAGCCATTAAGTTTTACTGCTGTCAGAGCTAGAATTGCTAACTAGGTCAAATTGGCTACACGTGTATTCAGGGAAGCTTCCCATCATGCACTGCGCCTCACCTCTTTGTGTGATTGGCTTCCTCGTTGTAATTGGAAGCTGTGGGTGGCCGTCTCAGTTCTAAACCACACCCACATCCTTCCCAGCCAATCATCAGCCTTTTCATTGGCATTAGCCCCGCCCAACTGAACCCTCCTTTCACGAAACGTGCATTCAGCGTCCACCTCCCACGTGTCCTCCTTCCAACCAATCGCCGCTCGTTTCTTGCTTTTCCATTCTTAAGCCAGACACCACGGGTGGGCGGGAGTCTTTCATTCGACTGACCACGCCCACTTGTTCACTTCCAGCCAATTAAGAATCGTTTTTTTTCCTCCTCTTCTTCAAGGGTGGGAACCGCTAAAAAGGCAGCGCTTGGTCACGTGCACCTGCTCGCCCAATCGCAGCGCGCGAATCTCCTCCTCCTCCCTCCACACCTCTGGGTTGGCGGGAAAAGTAAAGCGCGCGCGCGCGCGCTCCCCTCCTAACACACACACACAGACACACTTGCGCGTTCCCGACGCTCCGTCGTTGGCGCGTTTTTTTTTTTTCCTCGCTCTCTCTCTCTCCTCATCCTTGCTCTGTCGGGGGCGCGCGCGCCACTCTCCAGGTCTCGCGAGAAATCCAGCGGTTTCACTATCGTGTTTACACTAATTAAACCCATTACCCCCCGATAATCCGAACCGAGCCGATCCGATCCGGATTAAGTCGGGCGGGTGGTTCCGGAGCGGGATCCGGGTTCGTGAAATCGGCCGAAAATTTTCACACCCCCCCTCCCCCCCCCATCGAGTTTAACCCTTTACCCCCCGTCCCATAATTCGGTGTTTTCTGAGGTAAAATCTCGCTTTATTCCCCGTTATAAGAATCCCGCCTGCGGGGGTCAGAAGGGGGGCTACCTGGGGGGGGGAGACTTTACCTTCCCCACCCCCCCAAATGACGGGCGACCCCGCGGCTGGAGGGTGGGGCGCGGGGCTGCGCTCCTAGGAAAGTCCGGGGATTTGCGGCCTAGTAACTGAGGATTCTGACTGGGGAGGAGGAGGACGGCGGCGGCCGCCAGGAGAGCGAGGAGGAAGGTGAAGCCGGGAGGAAGAGCCCCGTCAGGGGAAGAGGCGGATTAATAAATACCTCCCCTCCCGGGTCCTAGTCTGGGGGACCAGGATACCGAGAGAGAGAGAGAGGTAATATAACCCGGGAGATGGAGGGACACAGCAGGCCTCAGCCATGGGGAGCAGGCCTCATCCTCCACACACTCACACTCACAGCATCCTCTCTGCACTCAGAGCCGCCAGTAAATAATACAGGGGTCAGGGCTATTCACTAAACTGCGAGATATCTCGATGGCATGGCCAATTGGACCTGTTTGTTTAGGGCAAAATAGTAAATCTGGAGAGAGCAAAAAAAAAACAAAATGGTTAAGAATAGTGAGAAACATTGTTAAATTTTGGCTCTTTAAATTTTATATTTTGGCCTGAAATTTAAAGAATGTATATTTTTTTTTATTTATTTTTTTATTGACAGTTCACACTTTTTAGTAAATGACCCTTGTCAGAAATCCTTAGAACACCCCTCCATCTTCCTTTCTAGAAGGAATAATGGTTGGGGGTGGGGGGAGGGAGAAAATTAAAATATATATGAAATAATTACCCCAAAAATATTCAAATCCTATAGGGAGTATAAGTATAAACGTATAGACCCGTCAGTGTCATTAAACCGGATCAGTGGTTTTACTGATATTTAGTTTAAAAGCACTTTTTTCCATTTTCTGGGATGGGTTGAATGCCATCAGAGGAATCCTTTGTAATGTAAAAGTGGTTGAAGGGATATCACTTGTTTGGGCAGATTCCTTCACATGAAATGATTATACTAATTTCTAAAGTGTGGGATCTTTTGAAGTATGATATATTTATTTATTTTACTATTGGCGTGCTTTATTGTACACGCATGCCACACTTTAAAATTTTTATTTGGATTTCTTTTACCGGTATAATGAAATGAGTGAAGTCACTTCAAAGTAACTTTTTTTTTTTTTTTGTGCCCGTGAATAGACTTGTTTAAAAAAATGTACTTGTAATCTTTAACATAGGCAGATTTTAGTTCCTTATGTCTACTAAAATTTTTCTAACTGCATTACTATAGTTATTTCTTAATTTGTTATACTTTTTTATTATTTTTTACTTTTTCACTTATTCAACCCATTTACCTGTCAGTACTTTATCTCCATTTCTGAATGGTTTAACAGGTCTTCCAAGTCCTTGACGTTTTGCATAATTCACCTACAATCTACATATCTTTATATCCTTCCACCACCCCACCAATTGCTTGTTAAACTGTATATGACACTATTCCGTCTAATCTCTAAATCAGGGATATACAGAGGACTAGTGTTATGCTGTAGCCGTTCAGGTGTAAATCTTTAATGGACTAAGTAATAAGTCTTGAATTTTTCTTTGCAAACTTTTTTTTTTTTTTTTTTTTAAATGACGTGCATAACTTTCATAATGTGATGGTGAACGTCCGACTTTCATCTATAGAGTTCAGATATCAGATCGAGTATGAGAGTTACAGAATAATTAGCTTGGCAAAGTATGTGCTACATGTATGTGTAAAAATGGTATACGTTGTCCCAATCTTGTACTGTAATGTATTTTCTTGCACTACAGCTGTTGTGAACTTATTTCCTTTAGTGTTCAAATTTAATTGCTCATCATTGGAAATTATTACCTCCAATTCTGATTGCAGGTGCTCTGATTTAGAACCATGATACAAATACATGTCATGGGATGCTAGGAAATGTATTCTGTTTTGAATGTGAGTTTAAGTGTACCCAAATGTTCCATCTTCCTTTTTGTTACTGAAACATTATATTGTTACACAGATTAGCAGAGTGCAAATCAAAGCCAATGGTTTCAAACTGGTTAAAATTACAAACTGGTTAAAATCAAAGCCAATGGTTTCAAACTGGTTAAAATTACAAACAATAGCCAAAATCGTTGAACACCACTTGAAGCTGAATGCTTACTCTTTTATTATTATTATTATTATTATTATTATTATTATTTTTTTTTTTTTTTTTAAAGCAGGCCTTAAGTCAATTGGGATTTAGAATTTTATGCAAACACACACACTCAGAGGGTTAGCTTGAGCCTGTATGTGGGGGAGAAATATTTTTACAAGGACTTTGTGCCATTACTGCCATCTTCCCTTTGCTACTCTTTGGAGCTTTCCATCACTGTTTTATTCTTGTACGGGCAGGATAAAAAGCGGTGGTCTATTGAAGTATGAGTAAGTGATCAGAAGTCTGGATTTGTCATAAAATTCTTGTATGTTTACATAAGCAAAATGTCTGGATGTCAGTCTGTAATTATTATGCTGGTTTTGCCTTCCAGTGCCTTTTTAGTTACTGTTGTTAAGAAAAAGAAGCCCAATCTTTTTGTTACTTTTGAATGTGTTAGCATTTCAGTGAAACTCCATCACACACAGACACATTTTAGTAAAGTATAATTATTAATGCTCACGAGTGACAGGTCAGTGTTAGAAATTGACATAAAATCCTGGAAAAGCTAACTTAATACAAACTAACATAGTATGTCAAGTATATACATATAGATATATCCAAAATTAACTCAGATGTTTTAGCCGTCATTTATTGCCTTTTTCTAAGGGGTAGCTAAAATTAGATGGATTAGTTGTAGGAAAAGGGAGGAGCTTTGGCCACTTTATATCCAGTTCTAGAATGTTTCTTTTACGAAAGACATAAAGTAGAGCAGGGTCCCCTTCAACCTACCATTCCTGTAAGTTTTCTTGTAATTGTCCTATTTATAGTTAATTCACCCCTCTCATAATATTGTAAAGTGCTACGGAATCTATTGGTGCTATATAAATGGCAATAATAATACAAGGGTTATCATGTATATGAACAGATGTTGTGTATGTTTTTCAATAGAAAGAAGATAGCTGAAACAAGAGGAAAGTCCTTCAAAAAACACGATACTTCCCCAGGTATAAAACAAAATATAAACTCTGTTTTGGATAGAAAATTAGCTACCTTGTTGCATTAAAGTCACATTAGGCATCATAAGCACTTCAGCGTGCTATGTGCCATTTAATCTTTTAAACTAATGGACCACTAACCTCACCCAGACCATTTAATCTGACGTGCGCTGGGTTTAGTGGCCCTGTACTTCTATCCTACAATTTAAAACATTGCTTTTTATTTTTATATATTTATTGCTCTGTTTACATTGCGGGGTAAAATACCACTTTAGTGGCTGTCTTCCACTTCGTTTTATTTGGTCAGTGCAGCGAAAGCGTCTGTCACATGTAGCCAAAGCCCTAGGAAAGCATTGAATGCAACACTTTCCTATGGGAAAGCTTGTATGTGCACATGCACATTAAGTGCCTAATACTTCTCTGAAAAGTATCAGATTAGATCATCACTGATGATGCTATATCTCTTTGATGTTACAGGAGGTGGATAGTTGAACAGCACTGAGGAATTCTTTAGACCAGGCATATACAACCTTTTGGCACGGCAGATGTTTTGGACTATATCTTCCATGAAACTTTGCCATCATTATGGGTGTGAGAGCATTATGGGTCCACAACATCTGGAGTGCTGAATGTTGCCTACCCCTGCATTAGACTGATGGATTGTGAGTTAATTAGCTTAGCAACTGAAATGGAACTTTGCTTCAGTTCCACCATTGGCAAAACATTTGCCAAAGACCATGCTCTCTCTGTGAGAACATAGTCTCTACCTTTTCACCAACACTGACCGTCACTATGATAACATACATTTTTAAACATTGCTATTCGTTTTTTCAGTTAACATATCTGGGTCCCTATGTGGGGGTAATGCCATACATTTACCTTTAATTTCAGTGTCGAGACAGTTTCCACTCAGCAGTCCAGTGTGCCTTTGCTCAGTCTTACAAAGGCAGTATTTTCAAACATTTTCTGTAAAGGGGAGTCATTGTATAACTAGGGACAGGGGCCCTATAGCAGTGGGAATACAAGTCTGTATTCGTAATGCACCTGTGACGAAGCTCTGTACTCACCCAGAGTATCTCAGTCAATCTCCCTCCTTTTCCAGCAGGACACCTTAAATGTCTATAGCTGCTCATCCAAATATCAGATGAGACTTCATGATGAGGGAAAACAGTGTACTTTATTCAACCAACTCCCACATTTATACAGCGTAGAATGTATATTACGTCTGTGGGTGTTTGTTGAACAAGTTCCTCCCCAGTGCCACTGTGTCTGTGTTGATTGGAGTTAATTAGATCATTTTGAAATTAATGAGATTTCCCTCTAGCCAATAGACACCTGATCAAACATACACTGGATTATGGCACAGTTTCGATCCGGTGGATAGTTCCATAGCAATTCAAGGTATCTCCCATTCAAGTGCTCAGTGTGCAGCGTGGGTCCAGGCGATCACCCCAGTTCATCCAGCTCCAGGTGGGGTATAGAGCAAGCACCCAGGGCCACCATCCCCCCTCCCCAAATTGACAATAGATCCTTTTGATTCATTAGGGGCTCTTGTTACTTGGCCCAACGTTTGTGGGCAGGAGTCTGGCTTCCAAGTCTATCCATGATCCAGGGTCACAGGAGGTTCCGTCACAGTTCCTGTAACTTTTACAACAGGATTACATCCACAATACAAGATCTTTTCACTGCACTGAGTTTCTTTTTTTTTTTTTTTTTTTTAATCCTTTAACTGTAGGCTAAATAATCTCTAAAGCCATTAAGCTTACCCGTAAGTAAGCAACTGGGCATTCTTCTCAATGCAGGCCAATCTTACTCCAGTGTAGTGATCAATCCTGATGACTTGTCCCAGAGAGCCATTGTGGAGACAGCCAATGAGCAGCAGTCGCATGATGTCAGTCCATTGCTTATCTATCAAACGCATTGTACCAATGCTTCTCAAAGAGGACTTGGGCTGATGATGAGGGACACAGTGGATGGATACCGTCACAGAATTTTGGAGTTAACCTGTTAGTAATGGACATCCAGGCACCATAACATCATCAAGTTAAAGTTGTTGTGGAGCACAGGGTTTTTCTCTAAATTTGATATGTTCTAACTGGATGGCTGCCCACTCCCTTAAACTAAACTTGACCATAACTGAAATTCTGGTCTTTCCTCCCTCAAGTGTTGTTACTCCTGTGTCTGTCTGTCTCCAAGTCAACGGTGCTACAATCCGCTCCACCACGCAGGCTCGCTGCATAGGTGTTCTCTTTGACTCCAACCTCTTCTTCAAACCTCATGTTCAATCTATCGCCAAATCCTGTCATTTCCATCTCAAAAACATTGCGTGCATCTGCCCCAACTTGCGCCGTTACAGTCCGTAGCAAGGCTCATCTTCCTGTCCGCCCGCACCTCCCATGCTTCACCCTTCTGTCAGTCCCTACATTGGCTTCCTATAAAATATAGAGCTCAACTTAAAATTCTGGTTCTTGCTTACAAATTTCTACATAATGCTGCTCCTACCTATCTATCCTCCCTTATACACAAGTATGTCCCATCTAGGCCCTTACGATCTGCTGAAGACTTATGTCTATCTTCTGTCCATACTCCCACCTCTGATGCTTGCCTTCAAGATTTCTCGAGGGCTGCACCGTTCCTGTGGAACTCTCTTTCCTCCTCCGTTAGATGCTCACCCAGTCTCCACTCCTTCAAAAAATCGTTAAAAACCCACTTCTTCATAAAAGCGTATCAATTAGACTGTTTATAGCTCCTGACTGATTACTCTTCTGCAACTGTGACTAGTCTAATACTATCCTTACCTTTTTGTGTCATTTTACCCCACTCCCTCTAGCATGTAAGCTCATTGAGCAGGGCCCTCAACCCCTCTGTTCCTGTGTGTCCAACTTGTCTGGTTACAACTACATGTCTGTTCGTCCACCCATTGTGAAGCGCTGCAGAATTTGATGGCGCTATATAAATATGGATCTAGAAGTGGACCCACCATTGATATGAATATAATACAAGGAAGAAGGCAAAATGCTCCCAAATAAAGTGTACAAAGCCATTCAGTAACCAACAGAGCCTAGAAGAAGAAGGCATTTATTTAATACGTTTTGCACTGGTTCATGTTGTTTAGCCTTAAAGGGTAGGACCAAGACCATTTCAATGATTTCCATTAATCATGGTGCCAGGAGTCTGTATAGCAGTGTTTCACTTTGAAATGCTGCACATATTTAGATTAACCCTTCTGCTGCCAGAAATGTAACGCTACATACGGCAGCGTCATTTCGGCATTAATCGATTCCGGGCTGGCTTATATTCTGTGCAAATTTCGAAGCAGAGCTGCTCCTTTGTTTACTGGTAGTGGTCAGCTTACACTCTCAGAGAATCAATGTGCGGCAAGAATGGCACCCGTCGTCTGCTGCTCTGCAGAACCCGAATGTTGCAAATCTGCCTTTACAGGAGAGCAGGAATTACATGTATACTTGAGGTATGGGGCCTGGGTACTCCTACAATCTTAACCATTACAGTGGGTTGTAGTCGTCGTGATGGTTGGAATAACCTTTTAAAGCACACTTCAAATCTGTATGTAAGTGTACGGAACAATCACCCACAAGTGATTTTGCTGGTAATACAGGCGGAATCTTGTATATCATTGATTCCACTTACAGCAGAACTATGACCGCTTACATTTATGCATCGCCCAATGGCTAAGTTCTATATGCGTTGTGCTATTTAAAAAAAAAAGTGAGATTCTGAACCTTTTTTTTAAATTACATTTTATTTATGGATTGCATGGCACAGTACAGGCACGCGATGCAAATTAATTTACCCCATACAGTCTTGTGCGAGTGGTTAAATGTACTGCACTATGAAAGCAACACCAAAGTACACTGGCTTATTGACTAAAGTTATAATTATTGAGAAAGTGTATTTCAGATTTAAAGGACCACTATAGTGCCAGGAAAACATACTTGTTTTCCTGGCACTATAGTGCCCTGAGGGTGCTCCCGCCCGGCTCTGGCAGGGGGAAAGGGGTTAAAACTTACCTTTTTCCAGCGCTGGGCGGAGAGCTCTCCTCCTCTGATCCTCCTCCGTTCCTCCCCGTCGGCTGAATGCACACGCGCGGCAAGAGCTGCGCGCGCATTCAGCTGGTCGCATAGGAAAGCATTTACAATGCTTTCCTATGGACGCTGGCGTCTTCTCACTGTGAAAATCACAGTGAGAAGCACGCAAGCGCCTCTAGTCAATGAGACAGCCACTAGAGGATTAGGAGGAAGGCTTAACCCATTCATAAACATAGCAGTTTCTCTGAAACTGCTATGTTTATGAAAAAATGGGTTAACCCTAGAAGGACCTGTCACCCAGACCACTTCATTAAGCTGAAGTGGTCTGGGTGCCTAGAGTGGTCCTTTAAGGCCAGCCTGGAAAATACACTTGCCTCCACTGAACTCTTTCTACCTGTAAATAGTCTAATAGCATTTAAAGGTATAAGAGAATTAGTAAGTGTTATTTCCAGAAAGTTGGCATTGCCTCTTTAAAGCACCACTCAGAGATTAGGCTGCCCCACTGATATCTAACTTTTAGTAGACCATAAAAGATATAGTTGTCAAATGAAAACATGTTTGTTACATAGGATTGCCATTTTTAATACACCAGGCTTTGCACTTAAATATGCTTATTATACTAAAACTTTTAAATCTGTCATTATTATTTTTTAATCTTTTTCATTTTGATGGTATGGGGAAGTAAAGGTTTTTTTGTTAATATTTGGGTGGAAAGTCCAAAAGCAGGGAGGGAAATACAAAATCTGATCAGTTTTTCTCCTTCTCCCTACTTTTTATATATATATATATATATATATATATATAATATTATTATTATACTCTACAGGGAGTGCAGAATTATTAGGCAAGTTGTATTTTTGAGGATTAATTTTATTATTGAACAACAACCATGTTCTCAATGAACCCAAAAAACACATTAATATCAAAGCTGAATATTTTTGGAAGTAGTTTTTAGTTTGTTTTAGTTATAGCTATGTTAGGGGGATATCTGTGTGTGCAGGTGACTATTACTGTGCATAATTATTAGGCAACTTAACAAAAAACAAATATATACCCATTTCAATTATTTATTATTACCAGTGAAACCAATATAACATCTCAACATTCACAAATATACATTTCTGACATTCAAAAACAAAACAAAAACAAATCAGTGACCAATATAGCCACCTTTCTTTGCAAGGACACTCAAAAGCCTGCCATCCATGGATTCTGTCAGTGTTTTGATCTGTTCACCATCAACATTGCGTGCAGCAGCAACCACAGCCTCCCAGACACTGTTCAGAGAGGTGTACTGTTTTCCCTCCTTGTAAATCTCACATTTGATGATGGACCACAGGTTCTCAATGGGGTTCAGATCAGGTGAACAAGGAGGCCATGTCATTAGATTTTCTTCTTTTATACCCTTTCTTGCCAGCCACGCTGTGGAGTACTTGGACGCGTGTGATGGAGCATTGTCCTGCATGAAAATCATGTTTTTCTTGAAGGATGCAGACTTCTTCCTGTACCACTGCTTGAAGAAGGTGTCTTCCAGGAACTGGCAGTAGGACTGGGAGTTGAGCTTGACTCCATCCTCAACCCGAAAAGGCCCCACAAGCTCATCTTTGATGATACCAGCCCAAACCAGTAATCCACCTCCACCTTGCTGGCGTCTGAGTCGGACTGGAGCTCTCTGCCCTTTACCAATCCAGCCACGGGCCCATCCATCTGGCCCATCAAGACTCACTCTCATTTCATCAGTCCATAAAACCTTAGAAAAATCAGTCTTGAGATATTTCTTGGCCCAGTCTTGACGTTTCAGCTTGTGTGTCTTGTTCAGTGGTGGTCGTCTTTCAGCCTTTCTTACCTTGGCCATGTCTCTGAGTATTGCACACCTTGTGCTTTTGGGTACTCCAGTGATGTTGCAGCTCTGAAATATGGCCAAACTGGTGGCAAGTGGCATCGTGGCAGCTGCACGCTTGACTTTTCTCAGTTCATGGGCAGTTATTTTGCGCCTTGGTTTTTCCACACGCTTCTTGCGACCCTGTTGACTATTTTGAATGAAACGCTTGATTGTTCGATGATCACGCTTCAGAAGCTTTGCAATTTTAAGAGTGCTGCATCCCTCTGCAAGATATCTCACTATTTTTGACTTTTCTGAGCCTGTCAAGTCCTTCTTTTGACCCATTTTGCCAAAGGAAAGGAAGTTGCCTAATAATTATGCACACCTGATATAGGGTGTTGATGTCATTAGACCACACCCCTTCTCATTACAGAGATGCACATCACCTAATATGCTTAATTGGTAGTAGGCTTTTGAGCCTATACAGCTTGGAGTAAGACAACATGCATAAAGAGGATGATGTGGTCAAAATACTCATTTGCCTAATAATTCTGCACTCCCTGTATCTCTATCAACAGCTGTTTTGGGTAACCTGTGATAAGGTAAAATGGAGTCCAGTTCTGGAGAAAGCTGATGTATAAAAAGGGGAGGGTGTTCAGTGTAGCTAAAGCTTATTATACAAACTTCTTAACAGGAGTGTTGTGTGAGAGCTGTGTATATAAATCTCATGAAATGTGTGGCTGCTTTTTATTTTTTTATTTTTTTTTGTTTGTTTCTCACTTGAGGTTTATTCTTACAGAAAAAAAGTATTTGTCCACATAGGGGCTTTATTTTGGAGGGAGACGTCAGGAGGGTGCATGTTGCTCCAGACTCGTTATGTCAGCCTTCCTCAAAAGCTCTATAAGTTACTGTGAAGGTGAAAAAGAAGTGAGTGTAGTAGTGCCAATCACTACACCAATGCTTCATCTTGCACATTGTTCTTACAAATATTTTGAGTGGTTATTCGCTAAACACCAAATTTTAGCAAAAAAAGCTGATCTGGAAAGACTTCTCCAACCATGTTCTAGTCCAGTTTGGTCCTTTAAAATTCTGGTTCAATTTGTGGATCTTAAAATTCTGGTTCAATTTCTGGATGGCGCTTCTCTCGTTTTACTGCCTTCATCAGTTCCCTCGCCTCCCTAGAACAGCTCACTCTCTTTCCTACCACTGTTCTGTTCTTTCACACACCACATTTACTGACTTAATTCAATATTTTTATCTTATCCATCGATCCCAACTCCCTCTGAAATGCTGTTATTTCGCTTGTCTTCCTCATACATTGTAAGCTTGTTTTGAGCAGGGCCGTCTTCACTCTTGTCTCTGATTTGTTGTCCAATATTCCTATTTTATAATTCTGAAGCACTGTAGAATATGTTGGTGCTATATAAATGATTCTAATAATAGTAATTCACTAACGTTTGATATTCATGGAGTAACTCACATTGTCTCTTAATGTAAAGTATTGCATGTAATGAGCAGGGGTTTATGGGAAATTCACAGCACTCCATCAAAACAATAGTATGAGCATGCTTAGTTGCAAGAACTTGGCTATTTACCTGATTATTTTTCCCAACCTACTCCAAACAAAAGCTGTAGTTTTGCAGAGAATGAATTAAAATAATTGAGATATAGATATATAGATATATATATTTTTATAGAGATAGATATCTCTCTCTCAATTTTTTTAAAAATTTTTTTTCTAATGCTGTTAATTTCCTTTTTTAGTGAACATGGTTATTCCCTTGTATTTATCTGGCTTCAAGGAGATTAATTGCTGTGTGGTGACAAATAGTGAGGATTCAGTGTGTTTAACAAGGCCAGATCAGTCGGTGTTCTTTTCATAATGGAAAACCGTTTACAGCAGTGAAGAATAAGATGGAGCCAAAAATGAAAATGGCCTGCAACTTTCAGCTGTATGGGTGTGTAGTGCAGACCTCCTGAAATTGTCACACGTTTTCTTTTGACTTATCTGACCTCTGCTTTTTATTATATCTGCCTGCAGTGGTTCTTGGCAATGTTGTAACTCAATAGCATATTTGGTGTTAAATGCTAAATATAGCTGTAGAGTGAAGGTAAATGCAGATTAAAACATGTATTCTTTAGTGGTTTTTGAGGCCTTTTATTTATTCAGCACCAGTCCTGTGGAGTTTCCTAGAGTGGCGTACATTCTGTTTCGTGTCTTTATTTAACTCATTAATTGCCTGGCTAGGTTTTAAAAAACAAATGGGGGAAAAAAAAGAAACTATAACTTCAACAGCTCTAGTATGTATGTGTGTTCTGGTTTGTTGATTTTTTTTTTTTTGCACACGCTCCATCTAAGTTTGATATTGGTAACTATCTGGGAATATTGCTTTATCTATGTCTTGTTAGATTGGATGTGTTGTCTTATGTACATTGCCTTGTAAACGTAACCCTAAGAAGATGAGATAAATGTAGGTAGTATTGGTCAGCACAGGTTTTTCTGTGGAATTTATTTTTTTGTAGTAAAAGGATGATTTGTCTGCTTTCTTTTGCATATTGTGAGTTTATGGTGACTTGCTATTGCCAGTCTTGATCCTCTGCCAAACAACAAGTTAATTTCCCTTCTTCACAATCGTATGTCTGTGAATGGCTTGCATTGCATTATTTCTAGCAGTGTCACAACTTAAAAGACCAATGAGGCATATATTTTTTATAATAAGTAACATACTAATAGCAGAACAATTATTCCGAAATAGAGAATGAGAGAAAAGCAGACTCTCTCACAATAAAAGATACTTTGCCATGGAGTAATGAAGCAAATCTGTTTTAAATAATTTTCATTCTTCCAGTTTCATTGAAAACCTTCAGTTTGCCTTTTAAGATTTGTTAGGAAACTGTGCTTTGGTATTTTCATATGCACAAGGCACACTAACTGAATTCAGCACTGGCTCCAACAGGGCAATAACACACTATTCTAAAACAGGCTAAAGTACCTGTGTCCGGCAAAATGGATGTATGGCGCCCCCCACCCCCATCAGAGGTGTTTTTATTTTTTTTTTATTTTTTTGTAAATAATTGTAATCAGCTTTACCAGTTCTGTTGAGTAAGTACGTTTAGCACTCACACATTCTCTTATTACTTTTCAGCATAGTCTGTGGAGTTATAATTTGGCAATGCAAAGGAATTTTAAATATAAAGTTTTTTGTTTTTTTTTTTCATTTTATGTGTGTTTCGGATTTAAAGATTATAGCCCTTTTTGTGGTAGTTTTGAGATATATATATTCCTCATAGAGAAGCATTGCAGACTTAAAGTAACACTATAGCGTTAGGATTTGGACACTGGTTTGTATTCCTAATGCTATAGTATTATTTCTCTTTGATTTTTAGGCCCTCACTCCAAATTTTAAATACTGGAATAAAGAGTATAATATACTTTATTTATTTTTCACCAAAGAGGTTAAGTCCCTACAGCTGCTCAATCTACCTCCTGGGATATTGGAGGTTATGGGTGATAAGAGTTTGACCTGTATCTCTTAGTGGAGGGGCTGTCAGGAAGGCAGATACTAGATGCATATTTAACCCTGCAATGTAGGTATTGCTGTATCTACTAAAAGGCATTTTTTACATTGCTGGAATAAAACTAAAGGACCACTGCACCCAGACCACTTCATCTTAATGAAGAGGTCTGGGTAGCACTAGTGGTACTTTAAGGCACGTGCATGCTAATCCCAATGATCTGACAATTTGCTTCTTTTTGAGAAGTTAGCTGCACAGTGTGATGATACCAAACATAAACACAGTTGATAATGTTTTACATTATCCTAGAAATAGGACAGGGTCCTTGCACCAAAAAAATAGGTATAGTAAAAAGACATATAAATACATACAATGTAAACGTCACATGGTAGTGTTGGATTAACATCGCTGCAAGCAGTAGCATAAAGACCTTCTAGACGAGGAAGAGGCACTTACAATACAGTTCAGGGCATTTAGAGTAAATTTTACCCCCTTAAAAAAACAAAACATAATTTTTGTGTGTGTGTGTATATATACACACTCTCTAAATGCATGTTCATACTCAAACAGACCCAATTAGTGTTACAAATGAAAACTATGCATCCTGTTTTATGAATAAATATATAAAACATACAATTGGAGACCTTTTCTGAAGGTAAAAAGTGCTTGCAGAACTAAATTTTTATTTTTTTATATATATATATTTTTTTTTATTTATTTTTTGTTTTGTTTTTTTCTAGTGGAAATGATGGAAGAATTGCACAGTCTGGACCCACGGCGTCAAGAATTGTTGGAAGCACGATTCACTGGAGTTGGTGTTGCAAAGGTAATTTTGGAAACTTTTTATTCGTGTTTTGCTTTACAAAAAAGTAAAGAGATTGTGCTAAAGGCACTATGAATAGCAACCAATCTCCTTTTTCTCAGCAACATTTTGTATATGCTTTAAAGCTCTTCTCAGCATGACGTTGAGGTGGAATAAGGGAGGGTCCTATGAACATTGTCACAGCCAGGAAATGTGTGGCTAAGATTGCATACAAAAAGTTATTTAACTCCTAAACAGCAGAGAGTCTGCAGTGGCATGAGCTATACACCAAAACTGCTTTATTAAGCAAAAGTTGTTTTGGTGGTGTGAGAATTCCTTTAACTTCTGTAGTCAGCTTAAAGCAGCCTCCAGGTTGTTTTCAGTGGTTAACATTTGCTCTAACCTCCTATTCAACACTGAGTTGTAGAGGTGTAGGGAATCGTAGCTTCTCCCCTTAATGGCTCACCCAATTAGAGTTGTCAACAAATTTATCTGCAACTTCAATAATTTGGATGGAGTTAGATATTTTTGCACATGGGATAAGTTTATGATGCATGGAGTATCCATTTAAATGTTTTCATTGTCCTGCAAATGTATTAATCGGTTTCTCTTTCTAGGGACAACTGAACAGTGAATCATCTAACCAAAGCCTTTGTAGCCTGGGTTCTCTGAGTGACAAAGAACTAGAGGTGAGAAAAATTTAAGCTGACATTTCATGTGGTTTAATGCAGTAGATGGAATTTGTTATGCCTGTAAAGTTTTAACACTTTCCAGAGAAGAAATGAGGTAAAACTAGTAGGATTCTTTTCATCCTAGTTTCGCAGTTTTAGAAGTATGCAAAAAGAATAACAACAAAGTTTCATTTTGCATGCTAGCAGCCTTTGACTGTATTATCCCTAAAAGGAATAGGCAGCATATTTTATTTTTTTAATGAACATCCAATTGGTATTCACAATCGTAGTAAACAGATTTGCCTATAACATTTAAGCGGGTTTGATTTCAACACCAAGTAAGAAAATGTATATCAGGCTTGTTTTACCTACTTAAAGGACCACTCTAGGCACCCAGACCACTTCAGCTTAATGAAGTGGTCTGGGTGCCAGGTCCAGCTAGGGTTAACCCATTTTTTTTATAAACATACAAACACATGTTTGTAAATGGGTTAATCCTTCCCCCAAAGCCTCTAGTGGCTGTCTCATTGACAGCCGCTAGAGGCGCTTGCGTGATTCTCACTGTGAAAATCAGTGAGAGCACACAAGCGTCCATAGGAAAGCATTGATAATGCTTTCCAATGCGACCCGCTGAATGCGCACGCACGGCAAGAGCTGCGCGCGCATTCAGCCGACCGGGAGGAACGGAGGAGGAGCTCCCCGCCCAGCGCTGGAAAAAGGTAAGTTTTACCCCTTTTATCCTTTCCAGAGCCGGGCGGGAGGGGGACCCTGAGGGTGAGGGCACCCTCAGGGCACTATAGTGGTCCTTTAAAGGTACTCTCTGAGTACCAATAGAACTTAAGTGCTTGTGATTTTTGGCTTCATATACATGCTGTTTTCTCCCTGTTCACATAAATAACTTTGCAAAAATAAACACATTGCAGCATAACTCCACCCTTTAGCCACAACTTTGCTTTATCACAGGCTTATGGTGTCTGTTTTATAGTTTTTCATTCTTTACATGTTAAGTAGCACCAAATGTAACGGACCATTAATTGTGTGCTTTTGTTTTTGTTTTTAATATTATAAACCTTGAGGTTAACTTACTGCAGGGATCGACAAACCTCTGGTCACCATGGCGACCTGGAATTTTGTCCTGATGCCTGAGATTAATCTGCCTGTTCAGTGCAGTTGGCGCGGCAGAATACAGGAGCTGGCTGACTGTGTGGAATGGAGCAGGGCGGATGTATAGGAGCGGTCATGTTCCTGTTCTGTTCCCTCGCTCACCCTACAGTGATGCCGGTAGTCGGAACAAGACATTGCCCAGGCATACTAAACCATGCGTGAGAGGGAGCAGAGCGAGAACATGATAGCAGCCCCACAAGTTCACAGGGAATGCCTAGCCACACCACATCTCAAAAAGGTTGGGTGGCTGGGTGGATTTCAATTAAAATAATGAAAAATAATTTTTTTTTAATTTATTTTTTTTGGAGCGTGTTTAGGTGACTGGCCCCCCTCTGCTTGCATAGGAAAAGTGATTTTCCCAATGCTGTGCCGGTCCCACCTCCATGGCTTAGATAATCAATCGTGATGATCTCAGCCAAGCCAATGCTTTCCCATAGAAGAGCATTGGGAGGCAATTGCGCATGCACTTATCAGCATCTCCTCATAGAGATGCATTGAATCAATGCATCTCTATGGGGCACATTCAGCACCTCTGTGTGTGTGGAGATGGTTCTGCACACTGCAATACGGGACTAGGAAGCACCTCTAGTGTTAATGGGTAGCAATGTAAACATTGCCTTTTCTCAGAAAAGGCCGTGTTTACACTGCGAAGCCTGAAGGGACAGGCTATAGACACCAGAACCACTACGCTGCAGTGCTTCTGGTGACTATAGTGTCCCTTTAAGAATTGTATTTGTCGCTATAAATTAAGCTTTAATTGTGTGTGTGTGTGTGTGTATATATATATTATTATTATTATTATTATTATTTATATAGCGCCAACAAATTCCATAGCGCTGTACAATGGGATATTTTATATTTATTTTTATATCTATATCAAAAAATCATCACTCCCAGGAATTTTGCAAAAAATCCAAACAGTTATCTTTATTCCAGTAGTCAACGTTTCACTTCCCTGGGGAAGTGAAAACTTGGCTCCTAACTTTTTTTTTTTTTTTTTATCTAGCTCCTAGATTCCAAGCAAATTTGTCAAGCCCTGACTTACTGCATTGCACTACTCTTAAATCATTCCTTTGTTGTTTCTTCTAAATTATACTTTTTAAGATCTAGGGAAATGATTTGGAATAGATTTTGTTGTTTTACTCACTTTCTCTCTGTACTTTTTGCATACAGATTTGAGTGTTGGTTAATCGGATCTGCTGAAATAGCTGTGTATTTAAAATTCACCTGGAAATGCTTTATTTTGAGAGGTTTTGCATATTTGTTACCAGGTGTGCATTAAAATACTGTCAATTTCATTGTATGCTTACACAGCCCCGTTTTATTTCCCTACTCGTCCCTTGTAAGGCACAAGTGCACTTTTCTGTGTTATTTTAAAAGGTCTCTCTTTAGCAGACTCCTGAAAAGAAACAGAATGACCAGAGAAATCGCAAGAGGAAAGCTGAACCTTATGAAACTAGTCAAGGTAATAAGTTGTGTTCACATTATTGTAAAGTTCACCAAAGTAGGATGTATCTGGCGTAAAGATTTCAGTTTAGCTTAAATCTATTACAAACGTTTCTTTTTATAATATAAAAAGTCCTTGTATTAAAGGATTACTCCAAACCCTATGACCATTTCAGTGACTTGAAGTAGTCGTGGTTCTTGGAGTCTGTATGTGCAGAGTTTCAGTTTGCACATCTGTACATAAAGCATTAAAGCCCTGCCAGAGGTCTAACTTCCTATCTCTGAGTTCCAGGTTGGTTAATATCAATTCAGTACATATAAACATTGGAACTCACCCGCCCTGCCCTCATACTCTGTAACTATACTCCAAGTTCCACAGTATTGCCTGTCCTCCAATAGACACACTGTGTGACTGTGGGAAATATAGCAAATTCTTATTTCTTTAATATGTGTAAAAAAAAAATATTGGGCTTCGAAGCAGATTTGTAGTGGTGTGCTGGTTTTTGTATGTTTTAATTGGTTTTGTCACCTTTTTAAATTGTGCATTTTCAGGTGCATGAACATTGCTTTAAACCTGTCCAATCTGTATGAAATTCAAATTTATTTATTTTTTGTCTTTCTCAGGGAAGAACACCCCTAGAGGACATAAAATTAGTGATTATTTCGAGGTAAGTGATGTAAGTGCATCCTATTTTTATATTTTTATTATTAAATTCCTCTGTCCTCCATTGTTTTCAGATAAATTAAAGGTCAATAAGTTTTATTTAAAAAATGGGTGGAAAGTATTCCATGTTTAAAGTGGCACGGTCGTGCCGAACTACCTTACCCCAATCGCTTCCTCTTCTCTCCCACTCTCAGGATCTGTTATCCATTTCTTCCTGTCGGCTCTAGTTTTCTTTAAAACACAAGACAAAGTAGGAACTACTTTGTCTAATGTATTTTTCCTACACTTGACCAGCTCTGACCTACTTCCTGTGGGTCAGAAATTTTTCCACAATACTCACCCTTAAAGGACCACTCTAGGCACCCAGACCACTTCAGCTTAATGAAGTGGTCTGGGTGACAGGTCCAGCTAGGGTTAACCCATTTTTTCATAATTATAGCAGTTTCAGAGAAACTGCTATAATTATGAATGGGTTAAGCCTTCCCCCAAAGCCTCTAGTGGCTGTCTCATTGACGGCCACTAGAGGCGCTTGCTTCTCACTGTGATTTTCACAGTGAGAGCCGCCAGCGTCCATAGGAAAGCATTGTAAATGCTTTCCTATGAGACCTGAATGCTTGTGCCCAGCTCTTGCAGCGCGTAGCCGGGGGCAGGGGAGGAGGGAGGAGAGCTCTCCGCGCTGGAAAAAGGTAAGTTTTTACCCCTTTCCCCAGAGCGGGCGGGGAGGGGGACCCTGAGGGTGGGGGCACCCTCGGGCACTATAGTGCCAGGAAAGCAGTGTTTTCCTGGCACTATAGTGGTCCTTAACTTCATGATCTCGTGATGCCCTGTCACATAGAACGCCAGTGAAACTACCGAATTTCGCTTTAACAGAATGAGAACAGTTTGTTTATTCATGTTAGGATGCAATTCGGAACTTTCGGATCAGAATTTTATCCATCTTCATCTTGCAACCACTTGGTAAATAGCTCCCTAATTCACATGGTATCGAGGAGTTATCTAAAAAAAAAAAAAAAAAAAAAAAAGCTGAAAGACCAATATTGGTCTTTCAGACAAATTTATGAATACTAAATAAAGATTACTTAGTATTGGTATACAAGGGAGATTAAAATTTACCTTCTGTCCCTTAACACTATAACTCAAGTAGGGGCGTGGCTGCTCACTATTGTGGGAAAAAAGACCCCCACTCCTATGGAAATCATGAACGGGGAGGGGGGGGAGGACCTAGTGTGCCAGTTGGGGCTATTAAACTGAATGGGGGACCTAGCATTCCCTCCCTTCTCCTTCACCCTAAAAATAGTGAGGGGGGAAGAAAAATCTAAATACCTGTATAAAAATATTTTTTTCAGCTCCAAAAAACACCAAATAAAAAGCCATAAATCCCGTCGAACTTTGGTGGGGGAAAAAAAAGCAGAAAAAAAGAAAAACCCGACACTAAAAACAATAATCCATCTTCACCCAGCAATGGCACAATGCAGACGGACCTCTGCAGTGCAGGAAAAGGCTTATAAAGCTTTCCCACGTCCTGTAATTTTACTCGGAGCGTTCTGGTTGGTTTAAGCCAGCCAAGAAGTGTGCTCTGATAGGTAAATTTTACAAAGTTCGATGGGAACTATGGCTTTTTATTTGTTTTTTTTTGTTTTTTTGGAACTGAACGAAAGACAACTAGTGGTAAGTATATTTAGCCGCCCCCACCTGCCGCTCATGGAGGGGGGAGGAGTCTTATTGTCTCTAGTCTCTCTCCCCGCCCCCACCCGCCGCTCATGGGCGGGTGCTGAAGGGGTCAATAGGTGTTGATACTTGGGACCCACCTGCCGCTCATGGGTGAGGAGACAATAGGTCCCCCTTTGTTACTTAGGGCCCCCACCCACCGCTCATGGATGGGGGCCAGGGGAGACAGTACTTTTTGCCCACAACTGCCACTTATGGGTGGAGGCCGTGTGAGGAGACAATAGGTGTGTCACCTATTGATACTTAGGACTCCACCTGCTGCTTATGGATGGGGAGACAATAGGTCTTCCATTGGCTGCTCACTGTTTAGTAGACATGCCCCAAATTTTAATCTCCCTTATGCTAATATTGGGGTCATATTCACCTTATTCTAATACGGGGGTCATATTCACCCTCCTAGAATGATGGGAGGCATGGGGTGAGTTAGTAAGTGACAGGGAGCCCTGCTTCTTCTATTTTCACCTATTACAAGGAGGGAGTCGCGAGCCAGTAGCTCCCTCTTTGTATTAAAACGAACGAAGATCGTTTGAAATTTCTATTGATTTTATTAGCCTTTCTGACGACTGAGTAAATAGACGAAATTCCCGTCTGAGCATTTAACTGGGCATGCACAGTAATTTCACAGTGCTATCTAGTGTGGGCAGATGATGTGTTCCACAGGGCCTTCATCTCCCCACACTAAGATGGTGGCGCCCAGAACCTAGGTCCGGTCACAAAATAAAGTTTTTTTTAGAAAAGGGTAATATAGAAACATAGAATGTGACGGCAGATAAGAACCATTCGGCCCATCTAGTCTGCCCAATTTTCTAAATACTTTCATTAGTCCCTAGCCTTATCTTATAGTTAGGATAGTAATAATTCCTGATATTATTTTTAAACCTTTGTCCCTATAATTTAAGACTCTGTCCTCTTGTTGTGGTAGTTTTTCTTCTTTTAAATATAGTCTCCTCCTTTACTGTGTTGATTCCCTTTATATATTTAAATGTTTCTATCCTATCCCCCCTGTCTCGTCTTTCCTCCAAGCTATACATGTTAAGATCCTTTAACCTTTCCTGGTAAGTTTTATCCCGCAATCCATGAACCAGTTTAGTAGCCCTTCTCTGAACCCTCTCTAAGGTATCAATATCCTTCTGAAGATACGGTCTCCAGTACTGCGTACAATACTCCAAGTGAGGTCTCACCAGTGTTCTGTACAATGGCATGAGCACTTCCCTCTTTCTGCTGCTAATACCTCTCCCTATATACAACCATGCATTCTGCTAGCATTTCCTGCTGCTCTATTACATTGTCTGCCTACCTTTAAGTCATCAGAAATAATCACCCCTAAATCCCTTTCCTCATATGTTGAGGTTAGGACTCTATCAAATATTATGTACTCTGCCCTTGGGTTTTTATGTCTAAGATGCATTATCTTGCACTTATCCACATTAAATGTCAGTTGCCACAATTCTGACCATTTTTCTAGTTTACCTAAATCATTTGCCATTTGGCTTATCCCTCCTGGAACATCAACCCTGTTACATATCTTAGTATCATCAGCAAAAAGACATACCTTACCATCAAGACCTTCTGCAATATCACTAATAAAAATATTAAAGAGAATGGGTCCAAGTACAGATCCCTGAGGTACCCCACTGGTGACCAGTCCAAGCTTCGAATATATTCCATTAACAACAACCCTCTTTTGCCTGTCACTCAGCCACTGCCTTACCCATTCAACAATATTGGAATCCAAATTTAAATATTGCAGTTTATTTATAAGCCTTCTATGTGCAACAGTGTCAAAAGCCTTAGTGAAATCTAGGTAAGCAATGTCTGCTGCACCACCCTGATCTATAATTTTAGTTACCCAATCAAAAAAATCAATAAGATTAGTTTGGCATGATCTCCCTGAAGTAAACCCATGTTGTCTCTGATCTTGAAATCCATGTGTTTTTAGATGTTCGACAATCCTATCCTTTAACATGGTTTCCATCACTTTCCCCACTACTGAAGTAAGGCTTACTGGCCTATAGTTGCCCGACTCCTCCCTATTACCTTTCTTGTAAATGGGCACAACATTCGCTAACTTCCAATCTTCTGGGACTACTCCTGTTAACAATGATTGGTTAAATAAATCTGTTAATGGTTTTGCTAGTACACCACTAGACTCTTTTAATAGCTTTGGGTGTATTCCATCAGGTCCCATTGACTTATTTGTCTTTACTTTTGACAGTTGAAATAGAACCTTTTCCTCTGTAAACTCACGTGTAATAAATGACTCATTTATCCTTTCTCTTAACTGAGGTCCCTTTCCTTCATTTTCATCTGTAAATACAGAACAAAAATATTCATTTAGGTAGTCAGCTAGACCTTCATCCTCTTCTACATACCTTCTTTTGTTTTTAATCGAACTAATCCTTGTTTTACTTTCCTTTTCTCATTTATGTATCTAAAAAATGTTTTGTCCCCCCTTTTTACTGACTGTGCTATTTTCTCTTCTGTGTGTGATTTGGAAGCTCTTATAACTTTCTTAGCCTCTTTCTGCCTAATCTTATAGATAATTTTGTCTTCCTCACTCTGTTTTTTTTTTATAATTCCTAAATGCTAAATTTTTGTTTTTAACTATTTTGGCCACATCTGCGGAGTACCACAGTGGTTTCTTGAATTTTTTGCTTTTAATGACAAGCCTAATGCAATTTTCTGTTGCCTTCAATAGTGCAACTTTTAAATAATCCCATTTCTCTTGGACTCCATTTAAATTGCTCCTGTCTGATAATGACTCCTCTACACATATTCTAATTTTAGAAAAGTCTGTTTTTCTAAAGTCTAAAACTTTTGTTTTTGTGTGGTGTGACTCAGTCACTGTTCTTATATTAAACCACACTGACTGATCACTGGATCCTAAACTTCCACCTACAGTAATATCTGGTACCAAATCTCCATTTAACACTAAATCTAGTATGGCCCCTTTACGAGTTGGCTCCTCAACAGCTTGTTTTAGAGACACTCTCAGTAGGAGTTTAGAATAGGTGTGCTCCTGGCACAAGTAGCTAATTTTGTTTTCCAATTTACATCAGGAAGATTAAAGTCAGCCATGATGATAACTTCCCCCTTCATTGTCATTTTAGCTATTTCCTCAACTAGTAGATTATCTAACTCTTCAATTTGTCCTGGGGAACTATAAATCACACCTACACAAAATGGGAGACCTAGGGACATTTGGGAGAACTAGGGGGGCAATTAGATGCAGTGTAGTTGGGAGGGGGTTAAATAAAAAAAGATGCGGCCATGACCGTGCCGCTTTAACTTCAGGGTAGTAATCAAAACCACATTTTGAGTTACCCAGTCGAAACAACGTTGTTTATTTCAAAAAGGAATTCTCGCATATCCAAAACCAGGCCTTGACTACAATGCCTAGTTCAATGAAAAGTCTTATTGGGGAAAAAAATATCAAATCAAACAATATTAACACTGTTTTATTACGCCAGCAACAAGTTTTCCAACAATTGCCCTTGCCATGTTGTAGGGAGAAAAATATATTAAGTCCTTTAGCTTAAATTTTTTTTTGATGGCTGTAACTAAAAATACAGCCTGAGCTTTAAAGTAAACATGCTTGTTAGCCGTTATATGTTTTACAGCCTTCCATAGAGCATTGCATTGTGTAAGGAGATACTCTTAAGTATTACTACCACTTATTGTACTATGAACTTATGGGCACAGTCCGTCAATTTTGGTCCAAAATGTTTTGACAAAATCAGAGGGTTCTCCTCTTAAGCCTCACTGATAATTGGAGATTATAATTCCAAGTTATCAAGTGTCAATCTATCCATTCTAGGATGACGTTGAGAGGCTATAGATGATTTAAAGAACAATCTGTTTTACTTCAAGAAACGGGAGGAAAGTATTCCATATTTAACTTCACAAGAGAAGCAAGACCACATTTTGAGTTACCCAGTCGGTACAATGCTGTTTGAGCGTGCCAGTGGAAAGTTGGCTTAATGCTCTCAGCCTATCACTTTCCAAGGCTGGAGAGATTTGCATTTAAAAGGACTCTCTGAGTGCAAACACATTTTAAAAGGTTATGTCCAACAACCAGGAAGAGGCTCCACTAATTAGGAACCTCATACTCAGGTTTATTGGATAAGTTCAGACTTTATAAACCAATGTCCAGCTGGAGACTCTGGAGTGTCTTATTCTTTAGTTGCACTTCCACTTATCAGGAGACTACATTTTCCATATTAACTGACCATGTTCTGTTTTTGTAAGCAATTTTTTTGTTTAAAAGTATTTGTTTTTTTTTTTATATGATAGTTTGAAGTATTTATGTTTTTTTTTTATATGATAGTTTGCTGGGGGAAGTGGCCCTGGAACAAGTCCAGGTAGAAGTGTTCCACCAGTTGCCCGATCGTCACCGCAACATTCCTTATCGAATCCTCTTCCCTTAACGGTATGTTTTTTGCATAGAATGTCCAAATGGACTAGCGCCATGCTCTATTTATAGTCAGACTAAATAACTGTATTTAAAAAGTGAGAAACACACATCAATTATTTTGCACATGTAACATATCCTTCCAGATGCTAAGCCTCTGAAACAGTGGTTCCCAAACCTTTTAGGTTCAAGGCACCCTTAATATTTCAGTATTTTTCCAAGGCACCCCAAGTTAAAATTTCTAGATTGTATCTGTACAGTTCTGCGGCTTTTACTGGCGCTATAGTGTATGGCACAGTGTTGGTGTTTAAAGGTGTGCTTGTATACATTTATTGTGTTTTAATACAGGGGTGTATTTTGTATGTAATGTTTGCGTTTGATTGCAGGTGTGTATCTGAATGTAATGTTCACTTTTAAATGTGGATGTATATTTATGTGAAGTATGTGTTTGAGTGAAAGGACCACTATAGTGCCAGGAAAACATACTCGTTTTCCTGGCATTATAGTGCCTTGAGGGTGCCCCCACCCTCAGGGACCCCCTCCCGCCTGGCTCTGGGGAAAGGAAAGGGGTTAAAACTTACCTTTTTTCCAGCGCCGGGCGGGGAGCTCTCCTCCCATTTGGCTGAATGCGCACGCGCGGCAAGAGCTGCGCGCGCATTCAGCTGGTCTCATAGGAAAGCATTTACAATGCTTTCCTATGGACGCTTGCGTGCTCTCACTGTGATTTTCACAGTGAGAATCACGCAAACGCCTCTAGCGGCTGTCAATGAGACAGCCACTAGAGGAATTGGAGGAAGGATTAACCCATTTATAAACATAGCAGTTTCTCTGAAACTGCTATGTTTATAAAAAAAAAATGGGTTAATCCTAGAGGGACCAGGCACCCGGGCCACTTCATTAAGCTGAAGTGGTCTGGGTGCCTAGAGTGGTCCTTGAAGGGTGTGTTTGTAATATTTGTGTTAGATTGCAGGAGTGTTTTTGTATGTTGTGCTGGTGTTTTAACTGCTTGGATGTATGCACGTACAATACTACATACATACACAGATATTCATGCACATTAACACACAGATGCATATACATACAGTGGGACCTCGGTTTACGAATTAAATGCGTTCTCCGGGACGTTTCTTATTGCGAAAAATTTGTAAACTGAAACGTGGTTTCCCATAGTAATGCATTGAAAACCAATTAATCCCTTCTGGAGGTCAGAAAAAAGTAAAAATGAGCTGGCATGGAAACCAATGCACCAAAAAGTCCCAAAACAACTGCAATTTCAAGAATGGCTCAAAAACTCTATGCAAAAACAGCTCCAACACCTCCACGCTCGATGCCACATGCTACCCACAGGCTCCAGCATGCAGGGGACGGTGCTATAAACCTCACAGGTGCAATGCATCCTGCGTAAAGTTGCTTTGTATTGCGGAAAAAATTTGTAAACGGAGACATTATTTTCAATGGATTTTAATTTAAGAGTCGTTTGTAAACAGAGGTTCCACTGTACACCGACACATACACACATATAGATATACACCGACACATAGATACACATGCACCCTGACACACACAAACATTGATACATGACATAAAAACACACACCCTGACACGCAGGGGTGTGTGTGTGTGTATATATGTGTGTGTGTGTGTGTGTATATATATATATTATGTATGTATGTATGTATGTACGTACATACACTCACTCTCTTGGAAGGAGGAGGGGGGGGGAGTGAAGGGGTCTGGAGCTCTTCGTGCTCCTCTTCCCCCAGCTCTGTCTCCCTGCAGGGTACTTGAAGGAAGTGACAGGCTTAATGGACCAAGGCACTCGACCTGGTCCCTGCTGAGCAGTAATGTTTCCCTGGTGCTATAATGATAGCACCAGGGAAACATTCCACGGCACCCCTGTGTGCATGCAGTTTGGGAACCGCTCCTCTGAAGAAAAGTTATTTGAAATGTATTGCACATTGGCTCCTGGAGTTGTAGGTTTCAGGGCTCCTATTGTCTCTTTGCAACCCCCAACAGCTGCACTTGAAAGTGCAACACTGCCTTCGATACTAGAAATTTTCTTGCACTTGCATTTTGCCCATCTGCTGTTCTTCTGGCTTAGGTCGAAGGGACACTATAGGCTCCCAGACCACTTCATCTCATTGAAGTGGTCTGGATGCAATGTCACGGTCCCCTTAACCCTAACTAGTGCTGGATGTCCTTACGCTCTGCATGATGACATTGTATCAGTAAAATCCCCATGGTATTTGAAGCAGTGCTTTCCTATGGGGAACGCCTAATGCGCTTGCAGTGCTCACGTTGCATGAGCATTAGACTTAAGTTCAGTGAGTTCATTAACCCTTACAGGGGAGGTGGGGATGCAAGGGTGCTATAGTGATAGAAATACAGACTTGTATTCCTAGCACAATGCTGAGTCTGTGATTGAAAGTTGATGTCACTGGGATGGCTAACCAGAGATGATGCATTTGATTTTCAATCAACACTTAACAAGGCTGTTTAATAATAAATCTAAAAGAAATATCACATGTTCTGATGTTCTTACTATATCTCACCACTTTCCAAAAGGTGATATAGACCATTGCTTACAAGATCAATTGGAATCCGTTACCTTTTTTATTTATTTTGCATATGTTTAAATTAAAATGGAAAATTTGAGTATTTCTTGTATACACTAAATTTAATTTGCAGGAAGTTATTGTTCAGAGAGTCTGCTTAAAGGAACACACATATACTCCAAAAAGGAGAAAAATAGCATGTATGTTTTCTTTGGGAGTAAAAATAAATTATGTCTGGCTGTCCTTAGGATTTGCAATTCATCCCCTCTTTCCTGACACAGACTTTCAGTCTAAGCCACATAATACACCAGTTGAGAATCCTCTGTGCTGGAGACGTGAGCTTGCACACAAATGCAGTTTTCCTAAGCTTCACAATGAGCCATAGTACAGCAAGTGAGTTCTCATCCAGTCCGTCTGTTACTTCTGTTGGATCTCTGGAGCTAGCAATAGTGGGAGAAAACTTCACTGGCTGGCTGACCGCTGGGGAACTGTTTTGATGATTATTTAAAAGTACAATGAAATTTGCACTATTAAAAGCTGACAAAATGTCTGACTCCAGACTAACACATCTTCAGCAGTGTTCCTTTAATATGATACACTTAGTGTTGCTTTCATATACATAGTTCTACGTGAGGATAACAATATATATTTCAGTGTTTGGTTTTGGCTTTTGTTAAATATCTTAATCTGCCTGTGGACCTGCTAATACAGTTAGTAATGCAGAGTGCTTGTGGTTGTTTTTTTTTTTTGTAAAGTAGTAAATATATATCTATGCATTTTTATTGTTTTTGTAGAGTCAGCAAAGCAGCCCTCCTGCTACCACACCGGTGAATCTAGAGCATTCCTGCATCACCCTTAAACCGATTTCCGTCCAGCACAGGCAAACACAGGTGAGCTATTTAATCCTTTAGCTGGACTCTGCTGGGGTGCAATTTCATGGTTTTATACTTCACATAGTGCACCGATCTACAACTATGCCACTTGTAAACAGTATAGTATACAGAACAATTATCACTGGATATTCATACCTGCTGTAGGAAACCACTCGGATAAAGACCACTCACAAGACTCTCATTTTGTGTTATCTGATTCCATACATCACCTATCCATAGCATGATTGGAACTGCTCAGTAAATGATAGAAACCATACAGCAGCTGTCTGAAGAACCACCTGACTACCTAGGCTCAAAATGCAGTAACACCTCACCCATTGCTCCCATTATTGAATTATGCCACATAATTCATCCTTTGGGGTTATCAATGGCTTGCTGTGACAATTAACTTTTAAGACCTGGCTAGTAGGATAGCAGATCAAATTTCAAGCCCTGTGTCGGAGATGACACATTTATTAAAAGTGGCTGGCCTCTGGTAACCTGGCAAAATCAATTGAACTGGCTTACATGTTCAGGTAATCCTGGCCTATCCATTAGCACTGGAGATGTGATTGTTTTTGCAGTGGTTGAGAAAGGCCTCTTTGTTATCCACAATCCATAACAAAACACTATTCCCTCAAGGTTAAAAAAATAAAATAAACTTCTGTAAATTCTCTTTTGATATCTGATAATATTGAGGTTCTCCCTGTTTATTTATTTGTATACCATAATTAGACTGAGCAGCTCATCAATAATCTATGAGATGGCTCCACTTTTGGAAAAAGCCTGGTCTATTAAACTGGTCATTGGTGCTAGTGGGGCTTCCCCTTTTTGGTCTGGAGTAATGAGTATCAAGTTTAGATGATCCTGTATTTCACATTGAGTCCAGCCAAGAGACTGGTACAACTAAAGTCTATTTGGGATAACCTTGACTAATATCCACTGTTTCAAAATGATTATTCTTTGGTTATATAGCCCATGGAATTTTATCACCCCACACAAAAAAAAAGTCAGACAACACTGGCATGCAAAATGAAATTGTGTTGTGTTTTTTTTTTTTTTTTCTCTCTTCTTCCCCCCTCCCCTGTGTGGTTACTGAAATCTCAGTATTTCCTGCTCTATTTTGTTTATACTGTAAATGTTTGTTTATGATTCAATGAAAGCTAACCTTTTCAAGTCCAGCTGTTGTGAGCTACATTTCCCTTAATGTGTCTTGGGCATTGTTAACCACAAATGCAAGAATTCCTAAAGGTTGGCGATCACGTAATGTGCAGTGAAGGATGGTTTCAATAAAAAAAAAATATATATATATTTCAAGCTTTTGTTGGGTTTTTTATGCTGGACCTTTAATCAACATACAAATGTGATTGTGGTGTTCAGCATGGCTGATTATTGTATGTCTTTAATCTTTTTGAGGTATAAATCTATTGTGTTTTGTTTTTTTTCAGTCTGACCTCACAATGGATAAAATATCCGCTCTTGAAAACAGCAAAAACTCGGACCTAGAAAAAAAAGAGGGAAGAATAGATGACTTGTTAAGGGTGAGTACATGTTTACACAACAGCAATGTTTTTAATTAAACTCACTAACTCAACTATTTTTTAGATAAGATTGACCTGTTGGTTTTTCTTTATTTTATAGCATTATTTTATAGGGCATGTGCATGACAGACTGAATACAACAATAATTCAATTTCTTAGCTGTAGAGAAATCTTTTATATTCTAGCTTTCTTCATTAGATTGTTTTTAGAACATGAACCATATGTCATGCTTTACTTTTTAACTGCCTTATGTGTAATTTGTGCTTTCAGGTGAACTGTGATCTACGACGGCAGATGGATGAGCAGAAAAAAATGCTGGAAAAGTACAAAGAACGGTTAAATCGATGTGTGACAATGAGCAAAAAACTTCTAATTGAGAAGGTAACTGTTTTTAAAAAAATTTTTTTTTTAATTTTTTTTAAATGCAATACTGAAATATAAAAAATCATTAGTCTTTCCTGGTGTTAATTTGTATTTTGAGGAAGAGAGATGATTTATTGGCATTTATTAAAATTTTCTTGCTTCAGTCTAAACAGGAGAAGATGGCATGTCGAGATAAGAGCATGCAAGATCGCCTTCGGCTTGGTCATTTCACTACTGTCCGGCATGGTGCCTCTTTCACAGAGCAGTGGACTGATGGCTATGCCTTCCAGAACCTCATCAAGTAAGACCATAAAAGATATGGCAAATCCTTGTGTTTCTGGATACTCAGAAAAGTATTAAAGTTTTTGGTAGTGTATGGCAATAATTGGTAACTTACAATACACAGCCTGTGATTGTCCAGACAGGAGTGCATTATGATGTATGTTGAGTGCACTTCACTTCTCTAGTTTTAATTTTTTTTTTTTTTTATTTAACCTCAATATGTCCAGTTACCAAAAATTCTGACGTTTTGAACCTCTTAATCCACTTTTTAAAGAATAAAAAAAATGTAGGATCTCTTCTGGCATCATAAATGTAGTGGTTATGATGCCAGGTGTGCCTTTGCATTATCTCATGGTAAGATGTAAAACAGTATTGTGACAGAACCACAGTTCTGCCACAGTGCAGACACATTCACCCTGGTTTCTTCTATGGAAGCTGAAGTCACACTCTCTGGTTTTTCTCCTGTTCCTTACCATTAGGGAGAGCCGTGAATCTCCTAATGGTGACTGACGCTAAGACTTTAACCTGGTATCACAATATGAGTGCTCTTTTGACTGAAGGAGGTGGAAAGTGAGAGCTGTCGGGAATAAAAGAGATGGTGGGGGTTATTTGTGACATTTCCTGTGTTTTAGGGTATATTATAATGGCGCCCTGATGTCTTGGGGCTTCTCATTTAGTTCTCTCCCGACTCAGGCTACAAGGTGGGATTTCCATTGTTCATGCCATGGACCCACTGTTGGGGTTGTGTGGGGTTAAAAGTGTGCCTTGTTCTCAATAAACCCGTTCTTATTCACCCTTGACTAAGTCTCGGCTAGTGTTTGGCTGAGACAGCTATAACCGCAATAATCACTCAAGGTATCCAGCACAAGAAGAGAGGGACCCTCAGGGCAACACTCTAGCTGAGCACTGAGTTCTGTCACACATGCTGAAATTGTTCATCTTACCAGAGTTCTACCGGTCACCCATTGTTGTATTTTCTGTATCTGGTCTTCCCCCAGCAGATTTTTCTTGTATAATTAAAGCAAAGCAAAAGCAGCAACCCTTAGAAATCTTACCATGGGACTGCACCAGGGAACTCCTAGTACAATAACCACTCCAGGCTGTACAGACTATGTTGCTGGGAGCGTTCCTTTAACAATTTTACTTAAAATACTATTCCACAAATGTACTTTTTTTTTTACCTCCACAAATTGAACAAAATATAGAAATATGGGGGGGAAGAGAGGGGTATTGTGAAAGAAAGCATTTGCTGTGACTTCATTGACCAGTTTATCAATCTTGGGTATTACTGTTGTGTACATTTTTAACTGACCTATTTTGCTTCATGCCAGACAACAAGAACGAATAAACTCGCAAAGGGAAGAGATTGAACGGCAACGAAAAATGCTTGCCAAACGTAAACCTCCCGCCATGGGGCAAACTCCTCCAGCCAACAATGAGCAGAAACAGAGGAAAAACAAAACCAATGGGGCAGAGAATGAAGCGTAAGTGGGCTTTCATCTATCAATGTTTTATTAAAGTATCTTTGCCCGATGCCCAAGGTCAACGTTCAAGTGAAAGTATCATCATTCTTTAGATAGTACTGACGTATTCTATGGTGATTTACAATTTTAGAAAGGGAATAATCAGGGTAAAGAGAGCCCTGATCAAACAAACTTTCAATCTAAGGATTTGAGGTAGGTGGATGTATATCATTCGGTATCTTGGCCAAGGACACTTAAGTTAATATAGTCTGACTGGGATTTGAACCAGTGTTTCCCAGTTCCAAGGCCACTGATCTAACAAGCTAATATATGAAATCCAATAGAATGTGATGTACAGGTAAATATTTTTCCCCATGCTAAATAAAATACATCTTGCAAGATATTCTAGGGTTTATAAAACATTGGTGTGGTAACATGAACTATGGTAATTAGATGATATCCAGTGTGGGGACTAACCACATATAAATACTCGCTGACAAATCCACCCCTGTGTGTGTGAAACCTGGAGGGCTAAGAGGAGGGGCAAGCCACCTAAATGGTGGGTTAAACACTATATAGGGTCAGGAATACATGTTTGTGTTCCTGACCCTATAGTAATCCTTTAATTTGCCTATGTATAACTAAATATCTTGTACAAAAAAGTCTGTAGATTTTTTTTAAAGGATCACTATAGTGTCAGGAAAACAAAGCGGTTTTCCTGACCATATAGTGCCCTGAGGGTGCCCCCACCCTCAGGGTTCCCCTCCCGTGGCGCTGAAGGGGTTAAAACCCCTTAAGCAGCTTACCTTAATCCAGCACCGGGCTCCCTTGGCGCTGGTGACCTATCCTCCCCCGCCGTCAGCAGAGCGGCATTTGCCGCGCGCGCATTCAAAGTGTCCATAGGAAAGCATTTCTCAATGCTTTCCTATTGACGCTCTGCGCGATGGAGGTGAAATGTGCCTCCTGCATCGCACATGCGCCTCTAGTGGCTGTCCGGAAGACAGCCACTAGAGACTGGATTAACCCCAAATTTAAACATAGCAGTTTCTCTGAAACTGCTGTTTGCATCTAAAGGGTTAAAACTTGAGGGACCTGGCACCCAGACCACTTCATTGAGCTGAAGTGGTCTGGGTGACTAGTGTCCCTTTAATGTAAATCGTAAGTGTTTTTCTGTACTGTTAAGAGTAAATCATTATGAAATTTTGTCTCTCTCTATATTTTTTTAAATATCCAGGTTAACATTAGCAGAATATCACGAACAGGAAGAAATATTTAAGCTCCGGCTAGGTCATCTTAAAAAGGTAAGAGCCTTTAGTTTCTATCCAGGCTTGAAAAAATAAAACATGCACGCGCACCCCTCCCCCCCCCACCTCTCCCTTTGGAGTAGACCGTAAAACGAAGCCAGGAGGCAAGTATATTTTTAAGAATAAACAATTTAAAACAAAATGTAATTGGCACAGTATTCAACTATAGTGACAAAAAAAATCCTTTATTCAAATAAAATACAAAGTAATACTTTCCATACTGCATTTCAGCACAATAGGGCTTTTTCAAATGGATTCCATTTGATCTAGGGTAAAAGAAAGGGCACGTTATTGGGATTTTACACATGTTTATATCCAGTCCCCCAGCATGGGGTATTTAACAGAACAATAGTAATCCCACCAAGGCGCCTCTGTTTCTGGAAGATGATTAGATCAAACTGTGCTAATTTAATTAACCTTTCAAATAGGCACAGAACATGAATATCCCAGAATATGTAATATTCGCCCCCACATGTTTGGTATCCCAGGATATCTTGTTCCTGAGTGCCCAGTCTGGCAAAATAGAGCCTTGATCACATGTTTGTGGTGGAAACCCCGCCCGATCTGAGTTGACCAACCACGGCTGTGAGTTAGTCTGAGTAATAGCTTCACGCAGCCTCCCTGAGGTAGCTCTGTTTTCTCGGAGCACGATGGTCTGTTTACAATGATAGGGGCTTGCTTTCAGAATGCTTATGCTGGGAGTATCTGTGGAGGGGAGGGGGGGGGCAGTGTAATTGAAGCTCTTTGGCTACAGTTAATGTTTTATTCACACTGAATATTTTACATCTCTAGCCAGGGTCTGCTATCTATTCACAAACTGCAGGTGGAAATTATAACCTCGCTCTGTACGGTAAATTTTACAGCTATTCTCCGAACGCAGAGCACTAGAGAGCGCGCTTTATAAAGATTGACACTAGTACTGCTTATTTCTGATTCAGCCTTTACCACTACTTGTCTTTGTTTTTAGGAGGAAGCGGAGATCCAAGCAGAACTTGAACGACTCGAAAGAGTCCGGAATTTGCACATTAGAGAACTGAAGAGAATACACAATGAAGATAATTCACAGTAAGAACTCTTAGCTGTATTTGTCTTTGACCACCACCCAACTCATCATGCCATGAATAAGTGGCAGAATTTGTTAGTTTTAAATCTGCTGGGTTGATGCCAGCAACATGTATATAGCCAGCTTCTACATCTCTTTGGGTGATTATATATATATTTAAAAGTACCAGTTACCATATTGTTTGGCTCTGCATGTATGTGGACACTGGTTATGGCCATACATAAGTACTTTTATATCAGCAGCAAGAATAATAGATTGTAAAATGTGCTGTTTTTAGATGAGTACATTGCAATCAAATTGTTGGTTATTTTCTCTGGGTTTTATTGGTACGGTTTGAAAAGTCACAAAGCGGGAATAGTCATCTCTAAGTAGATGTTATTAAATGTAACGTGCAAGCACACATAAATGTAAATGATTCAGTGGATGACCCTTAGATCAAGATATCGTGTTATAAGCACATTATTTTTAGTTTAGAAAATTCCTGTTGCAGATCCCATCTTAAAATTAATAGTGCCGTACAAAACTTTATATATTAGAAAATAAAAAAATGCTCCTACCATGTTTGACTAATTTGTATTCCTAGTTGCCAAACAAGGGACCACTGTATGTATTTCATGTGATCTTTGCGTTTAAATACACACGATTGGTAGAGAATAAAGCTGTCTAAAAAGGACACACTGGTCAAATCATCTAGCAGAATCTTTGTCTCCCTCTTGGTGTGTTTTTTTAATATTACGTTCGTTATTTACATTCGCTTTTTGCATGAAGATTGTAATATCAAAAGTTAATGAACTGTAAGTGAAGGCAGGAGTAATGAATGTCAAGTCATTTTCTGTAGAATTCTTTTTCAGAATGCATTTCTTTGTTTCACACATGTTTCTCCTTTGCAGGTTTAAAGACCATCCAACGCTAAATGATAGGTATTTGTTGCTGCACCTTCTTGGTAGAGGAGGCTTCAGTGAAGTGTATAAGGTAAGAAGTGTTATTGAGAAATAGCTGGGTTATATTAGGCTTATTAACAGCATTGTTCTGTTAAGATTTTAAATGTCTCTACATTTTTTAATACTTCCAATAATTCTTATTTACAATCTATCCGTGCTTGATACAGTTGTCTTTATATGATGTCCTATAGTTTATATGAATAACATTACTTTTAATGGGTACAATTTAGAACAATCTGTTTGGTTTACTCAAACCATGATGTAAATAGTGTCCCCTTTAAAACAGAGTACTTAAAACGTCTCCTGTCTTGTTTTATTACGTATGAAAATCTCTTCATATTTATTTTATCATTTTTTTTTTTCCCCTCTTCGGACACTGATTGCACCAAGAAATGGTAATTGATTTTTCTCTTTACCATTTACCCACAACTTCAGATATTAAGTACCAAGCCTCACCAAAACATTACCCTGTTGACTTCTGCAGTTATTTAAAGGACCACTATAGTGCCCTGAGGGTTCCCCCACCCTCAGGGTCCCACTCCTGTGGCGCTGAAGGGGGAAGAAGGGGTTAATCTCCCCCACCACCACCTTTTTTTTTTGTTTTTTGTTTTTTTCAGCGCTGGGACTCTCCTCCCTCTTCCGTCATCGGCTGCATGCGCGGCAAGAGCCGCACGCGCATTCAGCCAGTCAATGGGAATGCATTCTCAATGCTTTCCTATGGACACTGGCGTCTTCTCACTGTGAAAATCACAGTGGGAAGTGCCTCTAGCGGCTGTCAATGAGACAGCCACTAGAGGCTGGATTAAGTGGTCCTTTAATAAGCAAATCAAAATCAGCTCAAAAGTGGAAAATAGAAAAGTGTTTTATAGTTAAAGCATATGCTATGAGTCATACCCTCAATGCGAAGATCACGTTTGGTCACCTATGAATTAACTGGGTAATCCCACGTCCTGCACTAGCTTCTTTCCCATATATCCATGGCTGTTTAGTGTGCCACAACTAAATTCTGAAAAGAAACAGAAGGCAAGACTGGCGGAAATCGGCATTACCTCGTCTGCATATGTTTTGGGTTTGGTTTTTGTTTATATTATTTTGCTTAACCACAAATCCGTTTTGGTCCTGTGAGTTAAAGTCTAACTTTCTACACTGTATTAATTTTTTTTAAACTTAATATTTTTATTGTATTTATTATATACGGAGTATCAAACTGTAATCAAATAATTAAATTCTAGTGTACTGTATAGTAGTTTATTGGTTTCGATGGTAATTTCTGTTGTACTTCCGACAAAGTGTGGTGTTTTTTTGTTTTTTGTTTTTTAAATACATTTTAGTGATTGATGTATATTTTAAGGACTATTTTTGCTGGCTACATCCTCCTAGTTTTCGTATTATAAACTTGTCATTCATTTAGATGCCAGTTTAAATTTGTCCATCGCAGAGAGACATTTTGCATGTGTATACATGGATATTCCAGACAGTTTGTCCCAGGTTGTATCTATAAAAACAGTGCTTTTAATATTTTGTGTATGTGTTTTCTGCACCAAAGACATCTACAGCAGTTCATCTGACACATGAAAAGGAACTACTGTTCTTCTGCCTGTTTCACTGAAGCCTCTAGTCAAGAAGTTAATAAACACATTTTACAAATTGTCCTATTTTCAAAATAGAAATTATGTAACTAAAAGAGAAATGGCACACAGGGGATGGAATAAGCTGGAGAAAGATAATGTAAAAGCAGTATACATAGAAATGTAAAGATCACAATAAGCGCTCATGGGGACCATTGTAAAATAATCATACCAACTGATGGTATGAATTAATGAGCCATACAACTTGAGTTTAGCAGAAGTAGCCCTAGATCAGGCTAAATCCCAGAGTCATTTGCACTTCATATGGGTACCAAGAGCAGGAAGAAAAATGCCCCCAGAAAGGTGAGAACATAGGTGATGTGGGGGGTGAAAGGAAAGAGTTTTTTTTTTTTTTTTGTTTTTTTACAAAGTGTACTATGTAGTCATATGGCTTGCGCAGAAGCCACATTGTGAATACAAAAAAGGACAAATGTTGCTAATAGGGGGTGCATGCGGTATTCATAACATTTCACGTACATAATTTGCTTTTGGGATCTGGCTGTCATTGGTTTTACCAGAATTGTACATAGACAAACATAAATAAAAAGAACAACCCAACGGTAATGTAAGAACTTGGATAGTGTATCGTTTCTTTGTGTTTCAGTTGCCATCTGGTTTTGATGGATTCATTGTGTTGAACTTATAGGCCGGAGCACCGGTGGGGGAAAGAGGTTTTTAAACATAAAAAGGAACAGGAAAGGAAACGCCTACCCCTTATGGCTCCATGCAATCTCTTTACCCCAAATGTCACTCCTCAATGAACTTATGTCAAGTAGAGCAATACTGTTCCTGTCTGTGATATAGGGAGGCATTCAACTCTCCCATAGTCCAATTTTCTCAGCTTGTATCCATTGTTTGAAAGTCAGACAGTGCATGTGCTTCCAGGGATTGGGATCAAGGTTTTGGCAGCATTCAGAAGGTGTTTGTCAAGATTATTTATTGTAGATTGAAATGGGTAAAGTATACCGCAGTTTGGTAAGGGTGGGGAACGATTCATGTACATCATAAGGTAGAATGTGAATACCTTTCCAGGACGGCACTCTCCTGAGAGGAGTTTATATATTTTCGAGGCAATGGTTCTCTGACGGTTTCAAAAACAATTTTGTCTAATGGTTTTTCACTGAAAGCTTGTCCCAGCACCTGTGTGTATTGGGGTTGTTGAAGAGGATCAGTGGCAACAACTTGTATAATTCAGAGATGCCTCTGAATTCCCTCACCATGCCTGCATAGTTTCTCGAAAGGCATCAGTGATATGTATAAATCTTCCAGACTGGATAGAACTAATAACTTGTAGTTGGTGGAAATGTAACTGGAACAAGGTTGTTGGGTTAAACTTGGCTTATAAGGGGGGCAGACTCTTCAGCTTTTCAACTGAGAAGATCGTTAAATGGGGAATGAATAAAGTTCCCCTTGGAATGCCAGGGTAAGGTTAGGCATCATAAGAGAAGCGTGGAATCGGACAGAAAACTAATTATGTATTTTTGCGTCCAAATGGCTGAGCAGCCTCTGTAGGGACTGCCCTCCTTTCCAATCACAGGGAAGGGAGGAAGGCTGGATTTTTGTTGAAAGAATCCATAAACTTTTTTTTTTTTTTTTTTCTTTTTCCTCTCCCCTTGTTAATTAGTAGATTTCAGAAAATATTTTTCTGGTGAAAGCTAACTGTTTAAGTGCTTATAGATGCACCCATGCTAGAATTTTTTATCTAAGAATACCAAACCTACAATTCCTTTAAAAAAATAAAAAAAAATGTTCAGAAACATACAAGCTAAATTCAAAGGACAAATCTTAATCTGAAATTCCCCTTCCTTGTGTCACTCCTATGCCTGTTAGACGCCTGGAGAGCCATGAATCCCTCAGTGAGGGACTTCACCTTTTACTCTAACAGCAGTGATTGCTTTTCCCAGTTACAAGTTGTCTTCTCTCCAATACAATGTCTAATCTTACATATGTATTTTTTTTTCTATACCTTTTAATGGAAAAGGAACATGGAGGATCAATGACTCTGTCGAAAAAATCGGCCAGATATATTTTATCCTTAATCAAACATCAGGCATCTCACCGGTAACCTTATGGATTACACACAAAGCGTACTTGAGAGGGAAATATATAAAATACACTTCTAACATTAAACGGGAGAGATTTAATCAAATATTCCTTTTGGAAGCATCGCCATAATCCCTTACAGCCTTCCACAAAACATCCCCTAATACGTCTTTACTTGATAAAATCAAGAAATGCGAAGATGAGCTCTCCATAATACATCTTCATTAGATGGAATTTGCTCTGAAAACATAATGATTATCACATTATAGCAGCCTCAATAAAGCTTGCACATTTCTACCCCACAGAACACGTTTCTTCAGCACAGGGAGTAAAGCTATATAACTCAGATAAAATTGCAGAGGAATTTGCATTTTTTTCTATTCTAAATTGAATAATTTGAGGGAGAACCCTGCAGTCCACTAACCTACGTGATGCAAGATTTGTGCATTTCCTTTTCCAGCTTATGGAAGATCTAACTCCCCAATATTTATGGAAGAAATTACAAAAAGCAATCAAAACACTGAAACCCTGGGGGGGGGGGGGGATTTCCGTTCCAGATGGTCCTTCAGACCTTTATTACAAACTTTTCCTCTATACTTATTCTGCATTTACACTTTATGTGCAGCTTCTTTATCACCGGCAAATCGTTTTCCGATGCCATTTTTACATTCTCACATACTCTCCAAGCCAGGCAAACCCTGGTACTCTGACCAAAAGTTTTCCCTATTTCTCTGTTAAATCCTGATATCAAACTTTTTGCCAAACGTTTAGCAAACCATATCAATCATCTGCCGTACAATTCTCCTCCATATTCTGGACACCCTCCTAGTGTCGATCTAAACAGATTTGTAGACTTTTATAACAAACCTCTAGGTTTAAGTTTGTGGGCCGCAAAAAAAAAATTTGCATTCATAGAAACTTGGGTTTTTTAAGTCCTGTGAGTGTGTTCTTCACTTTGAGATCATTAAACTTTATGATCTCAGCCAATCCAATGCTCTCCCATAGGAAAGCATTGGGAGGCTATTGTGCATGTGTGTCAAAATCGGCATATCCATGCAGACTCAATCTAATACACTGCCCCAAAATTCAATACACTGTACCCTTCCACCATTCTAATAAACTGCCCCACATCACTCTAATATACTGCCCTCCCCCCAATTTAATACACTGCCGCCTCCTTCCCCCAAATTCAATGTCCCCTCCCTAAAATTAATACACTGCCCACTCCCTCCTCCAATTTATTGCATTGCCCCTCTCCCTCAAATTAATACAATGCCCCCCTCCCCAATTTAACACACTACACAGGAAGGTCCCTCAAACTCCTCTTTCCCCTACCTTAAGATGAGCTGCCCGTCCTCCAGTTCCAGTCCTGCTCTTCTCTGCTCAAGCAGGCCAGACGCTACTCTGGCACTGCAAGCAGGAGGGAAGGGGGAGTGGCTGGCCTCCAGGAGCAAGCGATCAGCCGTGTGAGGGAAGACGAGAATCAGACAGTAAATATCTTTCCTGTCTTGCAGCTGGTCAGTCACAACACAAAGTGGCCCCAGGGCAGGTGGGCCACAAATATATCCATTGTGGGCCGAAAGTTTGACATGCTTGATCAAGAGGGTCTATGTATCTATCACGGCAATCTGGGCTTTTGTGCATTCACACCTCCCACAGTGCCACAATACTAGCACAGTGTGCATCAGGTTTACTGCAGATAGGTTGGTTTCCTAGGTGGACATGGAAAATTCACTGCTATACTCATGGAAGATAAGCCATCCATTTGTTGCACGACTTGGTTTACGTCCCGCTCACATCAGGCTGCTACCCCCTACTTGCTACTCCCTCAAGATATGGGATAACATGGCTCGCACTTAATCTAATTTGTATTAGTTAACTGCTAATACACCCACCCATAGACTATTTGGAAAACCACATCTAAAATCTATCCCTGTGCTCATGAGTAAAAAAAAAAAAGTCAGGACACTTGGCGATCTCTTTTGGGATGCTTAACCATTGTTCATTTCAAGAGCAAAAAAAGGAACATGATCTCAATTCCAAAGATCTTTTCAAATCTCTGCAGATCAGACACTATCTGAGTAGCAATAAGATTGTTCTGGTGACTTTAGTGGTCTCTTTAATGGAAGTGGTTTCTTTAATGGAATGTACATTAAAAACTTTTTCCATCCATTTAAGGGACACTGTAGGCACCCAGACCACTTCTGCCCATTTTTTAGAAACTGCAATCATTATCTTGCAGGGTTAACTCCTCCTCTAGTGGCTGTCTACTAGACAGCCACTAGAGGGCACTTCCGTGTCTATAGCTATGTGAGGACCTCCAGCGTCGCTCAATTCCCCATAGGAAAGCATTTTTAATGCTTTCCTATGGAGAGCTGTAATGCGCGTGATCGCCATTGCCGCGCATTAGGTCTCCTCAGCCGGCGGGTGGGATCAGTCTCGCCCACGACTGACGTGAGGAAGAGGAGGAGGAGCAGCGGCGGCGAGCAGAAACCGCCGCCGAGGGACATCGGCGGGGGTCTGAAGTAAGTGACTGGGGTTTTCACCCCTTCAGCAACCGGGGATGGGGGGTGGGAGGGAGAGGGGACCTGTTTTCCAGGCACTGGAGAGTCCCTTTAAGTGAATAGAAAAGGTTGTACTATGTAAATGGTACTTCAATTGGAAATAATCATGCCAGACGATTGTTATATGCCGTGTCCGTGGGTTGGTTAAGGGTAGGAATTTGACATAACTGACATGCTGCTGTTTTCTTTGTATTTTCACTGGAACCAATATTACTATCATAAGAAACTTACTGTTTGCTGGAGCTTCTTGCTTATGTCGCCAAAGGTGATCAGTGACACAGGTTGTGAACTGGAAAATGTTATAAAGATACGTACTAGCAAGAGACACTTAATATTTGTATTTATGGGGTCTTCTAAAAGTCTAAGGAAGTCTTTGTACTTGAAACTAGTAACTATTATGATTGTAACGTGTGTGTGTGTGTGTGTGTGTATCATGCTGATTAGTCGCATTAACAACGAAACAGCTGTCCATGAGTGTTTCTGCCTTTACACCTTTTCCTACGTTTCAAAGCTGTTGTACACAGCAGACATAAACTCCAAGGAATTCATGTTTAAAATGGAAAAATGAAGGTGTTCTTTGTTTAACTAATTTGCATATTCACACCCAGAATGCCTTGTAGTAGTAAAAGCACTGCAGATGAGATTTCTTTGGAAAAAGCAAGTTTTATGGCTTAACTGGTTTTTGCAGATCTATGTATGTTTTGAGTGTGTCTATATTTCGATCTTTGTATCTGCAGAGATAGACAGGAAAGTCATTCTACAGGCTTCAAGAGCCTCAAACTGCGTTTTCTCTTGTTCATCATTACAGATTAATACATTAAAGTTTGAAACCAGTTACCTAATCTGTGTTAGTGGCAGACCATATATATTCTTTTCTGTTCACAAAGCCAATAGATTTGTGAACTTTGCACAAAATTAATTTGTCATTTGCAGGCACGATAAAATCAGCGTACAAGAAACCTGCCTCAATTCTTCCTTCTATTATGAGGTTATATTTTTCCCTTTGTGGAAAGTATAATCTATAGTAGCCCTGGTATAATTCTGATAAATAATTATGTATTCTTAGTGGCAATATAGTTAAATAAATAACTTGAAACTTTACTTCTGTGTATCTTACAGGCTTTTGACTTAACGGAACAAAGATATGTAGCTGTGAAAATCCACCAGTTAAACAAAAACTGGAGGGACGAAAAGAAAGAAAATTACCATAAGTGAGTTTACAATTTAAAGGGACGTTCCATGCTGGCAGATTTAAATTGTTTATGCATTGTATAGATGAGCATTAAAGTGCAAAAAGTTACAAATATTGAAAAATGTACCTGTTGGCATTCCTCATAGCTTTACATATGAAATGTCATGAGTTAAGTGAATTAATGAAAGCGATGAGAGGACCTGTGATTGCTAATGACAGCAAGGACACTCCATACAAGTATCCTTTAAGCACAAGGGAATGCATGATTGGAGACTGTAGTTGCAGATGTTCTTGCAAAGTTCTGTGGTTATAAAGAATTACAAGCCAGAAAATTATGACAAGGCTGCTCCTTGTAGCATCTCCCCTATCAGGAATCATGTGTTATTGAAAGAACACTAAAGTCTCAGGAATACAAATGTGTATTCTGGACAGTAGAGCTGTAAAAACCCTTTCCCCCTGTAAAAGGTATAAAACTTGCCATTTTTGTGGCTACCCCCCGCCCCTCCTTAGCTGATATCATCAAAGTTGATCTTCTCGGTCAATCCAATGCTTTCCCATTGGGAGGCTAATGCGCACGCATAGCAAAACGCTGTGCTGTGCCAATCCCCATCTCCTCATAGATATGCATTGAATCAATGCATTTCCATGAGGATCGTTCAGCGTCTCCATGCAGAGTGTGGAGACACTGAATTGTGCATTACTGATCCAGGAAGCACCTATAGTAGTTAGAGTGACTTCCTATAGAGGGTAATATTCTACATTTAAAAAGTCATCAACACTGTATACGTTTTGTGCTATAAAGTCCAACGGTGTTAAAAGGAGCATGCTGACTAAAACAATTTACATCAGTATTTCTTCCATAAACTGATATGGAAACAATTTGGTGTGAGTCTGTTCAGGGAGTCTTTACCTTATTAAAAAGTGACATTTTGCATGGTTCAAGTGATTGAATTGCTAATAAAGCACAATTTTTCTCAATCTCTGCTTACACTTGAGTGAATATCCTTTATTTATTTGATACTGATAACGATGTTGCTGCTATATAATTTCCACATTATTACACCGATGTTATTTAATTAGAAATCATGTCAATAGTAAAAACAGTTTGGGCCTAGCATGTGCTGTCAGTTATTGGTGGGATTTTTTTTCCCCCACCTGTTTAGTTACAGTGAAAATGTGCGGTGCTCTAAGAGCTTGTTTCCATTTCCTAGACATGCCTGCAGGGAATATCGCATCCATAAGGAGCTGGATCACCCTAGAATAGTCAAGCTTTACGACTATTTCTCTCTTGACACAGATTCGTAAGTAGCCAAGTTTTCTGTATAAGTACCCTTGAAGGAGCGCCTTTTTAATTTCTTCACCTGTTTTGCAATCTGGGTCATAATCTCCATTTTCAATATTTTAGTTTTCTCCAACTTTAATAAAAAAAAATTTAAAAAAAAAAATTAACCACTATACACAAGAGTTATCGAACATTAGCATTAACCAGTTAATATACTTGTAGGTTTTGCACTGTGCTGGAGTACTGCGAGGGAAATGATCTTGACTTCTACTTAAAGCAGCACAAGTTGATGTCTGAGAAGGAGGCTCGTTCTATTATCATGCAAATTGTGAATGCTCTGAAATACCTGAATGAAATAAAACCTCCTATTATACATTATGACCTAAAACCAGGTGAATATCGTATATTTCAGTTTTAACCTCTTACAAAAAATGTATTTTTATGGAGGATGTTCCCTAAACTTCTTTGTCTTGTAAATACACGTAATTTGTGTACAAGAAATCTTGCCATTTTATCTAGACTTAAGGAAGGTGAAATGTCTGCTCTTAGATGTGATTTTTATGTAGGGATAAGTGGTTTGTTTTTTGATTTTTCGCTATCCTGCTATGTTTTCAATCTGGTTTCTTAGTTCTAAAACAGTTAATGGAATAATAGAGCTCATGATAATTTTAAATAACACTCACAAAGAAAACTTTATCCGTTTCTCAAGACTTTCTCAAAGACATTTTTTAAAATGCTTGTTTTTTTTGTTTTGTTTTTAAAATATGTTGTGTATTTTATATACATATCTCATTGTCATAGCTCTCTCCTGTTTTGATAGTAATATTTTTGATCTATGTTTGTTTGTGTGCTTGAATTCAGGTAATATTCTTTTGGTTAATGGTACCGCTTGTGGGGAAATAAAAATCACAGATTTTGGACTGTCCAAAATAATGGATGATGACAGCTACAATTCAGTGGATGGAATGGAGCTCACATCACAAGGAGCTGGTACCTACTGGTAAATATTGAACTCATTTTGTTTGAGAGAGGTTTGACTGTTAACTGGGGTACTGTAACGTAGCTCCCTGTACCCCTGCTGGATACCCCCACCGAAGGACCGCTTCCTAGCTGGAACAAGATATAGGGTACTAGCTTGGTGCTCTCCCAGGGACTGGATGACACACAGTCCTGGGAGCCCTGAGTCCTTACAAGGACTTTACCTGCTGAATCCTTCAAGAGCTGGAACAAGCTGCAACAGTGATTAGCCCTTTCCCCTCTCAGTAACCAGACGATCCATAATTCTCGGAGTACAAACTGGAATGCCTTAATCTGTCCGGATGGCCTGCTTATATACAAAATCGGAGTACAGTGAACACACCCATAATGACACCTACAATATGTCCAGAAAGTACAATGTCACAGTGAACTCCCTCCCTCCTTCTCCCTCCTTCTCCCTCCTTCTCCCTCCCCCTCCCTCCCTCTCCTTCCTTCCTTCCCCCTCCCTCCCTCTCCCTCCCTCTCCCTCCCTCCCTCCCTCCTCCCCTCCCTCTCCCTCCCTCCCTCTCCCTCTCCCTCCCTCTCTCTCTCCCTCTCTCTCTCTCTCCTCCCTCTCCTCTCTCTCTCTCTCTCTCCCTCTCTCCCTCTCTCCCTCTCTCTCTCTCTCTCCCCTCTCTCTCCCTCTCTCCCTCTCCCTCTCTCCCTCTCTCCTCTCTCTCTCTCTCCCCTCTCCTCTCTCTCCTCCCTCTCTCTCCCTCCCTCTCTCTCCCTCCCTCTCTCTCCTCCCTCTCTCTCCTCCCTCTCTCTCTCTCCCCTCCCTCTCTCCTCCCTCCCTCTCTCCCTCCCTCTCTCTCCCTCCCTCTCCCTCCCTCCCTCTCTCCCTCCCTCTCTCTCTCTCCCTCCTCCTGGATCTGAGCTCCCAAGTTCTCTAAATAGTGCTCACATCCCACAGACACAATCGAATCACCACAGCGGGCGTTCGTCAAAGTTCAGCGGTGCTTGGGAGTAACCGTATCCGGTTTGAGTTTCATGAACTCGACGACCAAACACTACTGCCTGCGTTCATGCGAACAAGATGGCTTCCAACTCGGTTCCCACATGTTCGTGCATACAAACAGCGGCCGCCCAGCCGCACAATTAGAATCCATGATGATTGAAGTGTCAGGAGAGGTCACTAAATGTTAACAAGCACAGAGGTGGTCTGTCGTTCGTGGGTTTGTTCGGTTACAGAACAATACAGGGAAATCCCACGAGCCAAGTCTTTCAACAGGTCTTTTACATGGCCAATAGTCTTGGGGCAGGAGGCTAGCCAGTAGGCTCCTCCAGATAGTGCAAAAAGTGATAAAGTGCTCTCTATCCAATAAAGCAGCTATTCACCAACAAGGAGTTCCTTTTACCTTGTGAACAATAAAACAAAACAAGCTAGTAAATTAGGTGGGCAGCGCTAAGAATTATAATAATAAAATCATACATACACAGGTAGCAGCAGATTTTGCAATTATGTGTCTTACTCTTAAAAAAAAAAAAAAAAAAAAAATACAATGATAGTGCACTATGTTATGAATAATATGGTGATAAAGATATATTCCAAAGGGGCACTCAGTTTTTCAGAGCTTAAAAAGCTCTGTTTTAGGAGCCTGAACGGAACAATTCCCGTCTAAGGGTTTCTTTTTGCTGGTATCAGGTTCCCAAGGTAGTGCGGTTCATCAAATGAAAAAAGAATGTATACCAATGGTACAGTACGTATGTAAAAGTAGGATAAGTAAATATTTGACCTACTTACATTTGCTACAGCAATGACTTGCTCTAGTGTCATGAGCTTTAGGTGGAACAATTCCCACCTAGGGATATATGTAGATCTAGAACAGCAGAGTGATGGTGAGAGTATAAGGAGCTCAAGAGTGACTGGGTATTAAAACAGAATCTTTATTAATAAACAGAATAAATAAAAATATTTACTATATAGTAAAAATAACTATATATAAAATCAGTCCTTTCCCTGTGTCTCTCCCCTCTCCCCATCTCTCTTACTCCCCCTTTTCCCTGTGTCTCTCTCCCTCCAACCCATCTCTCCCCCCCTTTTCCTGTGTCTCTCCTCTCTCCCTCCAACCCATCTCTCCCCCCCTTCTCTGTGTCTCTCCCCATCTCTCTCCCTCCCCCTTTCCCTGTCTCTCCCCTCTCCCCATCTCTCTCCCTCCCCCCTTTTCCTGTGTCTCTCCCTCCTCCTCATCTCTCTCCCTTTCCCTGTGTCTCTCCCATCTCCCTCCCTCCTTTCCCTGTCTCTCCCTCCCTACCCCCTTTCCCTGTGTCTCTCCCCTCTCCCTCCCTACCCCCTTTCCCTGTGTCTCTCCATCCCCCCTTTCCCTGTGTCTCACTTCTCCCTCCCTACCCCCTTTCCTGTGTCTCTCCATCCCTCCTTTCCTGTGTCTCTCACTTCTCCTCCCTCCCCCCTTTCCTTGTCTCTCCCCCCTCTCACTCCCTCCCCCCTTTCCCTGTGTCTCTCCCTCCCCCTTTCCCTGTGTCTCTCCCTCCCAGTCCTTTACTTATCCTACTTTTACATACGTACTGTACCATTGAGTAAGACACATCATTGCGAAATCTGCTACTACCTGTGTATGTATGATTTTATTATAAGAATTCCTAGCGCTGTCCACCTAATTACTAGTAGGCTCCTCCAGGAGCTTGTGGCAAATGTACTTGGAAAGGGGAGTTTGTCACAGATACCTACTAGTTATGCCCTATTGTGCGTTTTAACTTTAAATGGTTACTACACTGTTTAAGTGGTGTGGAGGACAATTTCCTGTGTAATGTGCCCTATTGGGCACTATAGATAAGGTCCTCTCCCCCTTGATTTGCAGTAAAAGCTGCAAAATAAGCAATTTACTCACCTTGAATCCAGCACCGGGCGACACTTCCGCCACCAATCTTCCACGCCCCCTCCAACATCATAGGAACCTCGCGTGGTCCAATCATAGAAGAAGCTTGTGAGTGAAGCGGTTTTGCCTGCTCAGTGCATGCGCACATTCTGGGCTCCCTGCAAGGGAGAAGAGGATCATGTCTGACATCAGTGCGGGCTGCCAATGTCACGTTCTGGGAGTGAACTAGCCCCTAGCACACCATTAAAAAAAATCTCAGTATATTTAGTATTTCAATCTGAAATAGTGAAAATAAATATACTCAACCATTTAAAATTAAAAAAAATAATTATTTAAAAATTAAGAATGGTTACTAAAACACTTTAACCTTCATTACAAATCAGATTAGAATAATCATTTTACACTGCACAAAATTGTCAGCAACAAATGTAGGAACAAATTGTCAGCATAACTACAAAAGGTGAAATGCTCCATGTTGCACTAAGCTCATGTGTCTATTTATTGCAGGGGTTTTTTTTGTTGATGCTACATTTAGATTCTAATTCGAACAACTTTGTTACTGGTTATTAGCCCCATGGAGACCATAATATACATGTCTTATTCGGGATGGTAAAAAGTGAGACACTTGTCCTATCCGTGGGATAAATTGTTGTAGAAATTAGAATCAAATTGAGGAAAATAATACATTCTGACAAAGTATGATTTTTATAATGACCATTTAAAGTTGGCTGCTATATTCCAAACTTGGAAAAGTTTTTTCATTTTACAACTTTGCAAAAGCTATCAAACATATTCGTTGGTGCATTGCTGTATTTATCTTGAAGTCCATGCCATTCACCTATTTAAACCAATCTTTTTGTGCCATCTCCTCCCTGGTAGCCCAACTTTTTTTTGCAATCACTTTCTCACTTCCTTTCCTCTAGTACCCCCCTCCCTTGTTCTTGGCAACTTCAACAGTTCCATCATTACCCATTGCCTCTCTTGTGCCTCCAGATTTCTTTCCATTTCCTTTGCCTTAATGTAATTGACAATCTTCTCTTTGACATGGCATTGTTTGTAACACTCTAAATCTCATTTTCTCCAGTGCCCAGCTTCTATCTCTGCAATCTCCCTGTTCTCCTTAGACAATGGAGCACCAGAACTCCAGCCACAAGCACACAAAGTTAACCAGTTCTTCCAAAGGTGCAATGTTATAAGATTTGTGCTGTTCTCTTAAAGCTCAGTACTCTTGCACCAAAAGGGAAAAAAAGGCAATTCCCTAATAACCATCACTTTTCATGATCCCATGCATGTCTCCCACTCTAACGCATTATTCATCCCTTTGCTCTTTCACCTCAACAATTTTACAGCTTTTGTATCATATTGAAAGGTTTCTTAAAAAGAAAAGAAGTCTCTGCAGCATGCCCTCTCCATGTTCAATTTCTACTGGGAAGATGTTTTCTAAGCTTTTTCTGTTCTGTAACCCTACCTCATGTTCCTTGATCTTATCCCATAGCCCCTTATGCTGGTTTGCAAAGTGCTCTTTTACATGTTCTCAACAAAATTCAATCATTGGCTCTCTTCTTCTAGCTTTCCCACCAAACACTCCCATGTTAAAGCATACATTTGATGCAGATTTTTCATCAAACTCCTGAACCATTTCTGACATACCAACTTTACCAATTTCCTTGACTCCAGCTATCTACTTAACTTTCTCCTATCTGGTTTTTGGTCTCCACACTCCACTGAAACCAATGATTTTATGTCAGCAAATTCGAACAGTCACTGCTGTCTGCTACTATTACTTTGTGTTCTCTCTGATGCTTTTGGCAACAAGCTTGCTGGTACAGTTTGTAACACTGGTCTGTGCGAACCTGCTCTTTCGAGTTTCTCTTCTTACTTTTGAGTGGTTTGGTTTCCAGCACATCCTTTTTGCATACCTCTTTAGCACATACCATTTCCCTCTGCCTTATTCCATTAGAATTCTTCAAGGTTGTGTTCTGCTCTCCTTGTGTTCTATAGTCACACTATACTGCCTCCCTGGGAGATCCAATCAGTTCTTTTGATATGCTGATGCCACTCAGATCTGTATCTCTTCCCTAACTTCTATCCTTCCCTCGTAAAAAGTGTCTCCTACATTTCTTGTGGCTTGAGAAAGACAGCTGTTTAGGTTGAAATGTTGCCACTTTGTGTTCCTGACCCTATAGTGATCCTTTAACACAAACATGTATTCCTGACCCTATAGTGTTAAAACCACCATCTAGCCCCCCTGGACTCCTCATGCCTCCATAAATATAGCAAAATCGTACTATATTCAAGCCTGAAGCTGTAGACCTGCATGCTGTTTGCTTAAAACAAAACAAGTAGTCTGCTGACATCAGAAGTGGTGGCCTGATCCAATCACAATGCTTCCCCATAGGATTTGCTGAGACTAACAAGGAAGATGATCAGGGGCAGAGCCAGCATGATTCAAACACAGTCCTGGCCAATGAGCATCTCCTCATAGCGATGAATTGAATCAATGCATCTCTATGAGGAAAGTTCAGTGTCTGCATGCTGAGGGAGGAGACACTGAATGTTTGGATGCATTTTAGGCAGCCATGACCCAGGAAGGATCTGTAACGGCTATCTGAGGAGTGGTCAGTGAAGTTATCACTAGGCTGTAATGTAAACACTGTATTTTATCTAAAAAAAGAGTGTTTACAGCAAAAAGCCTGAAGGTAATGATTCTGCTCACCAGAACAAATTCAATAAGCTGTAGTTGTTCTGGTGACTATAGTGTCCCTTTAAGGCACAACTACAGTTGGAGTTACTTTTCCTAGGCTCCTTAATCTCTGACTGGATGGCTCCATCCCAAGTGAAATGTAAAGGAACACAAACTTGTATTCCTGACCCTATAGCGTTAAAACCACTATTCCGCCCACCCCTCTTAGCCACTCTAAATATAGTTAAATCTTACATTTTATTCCAATCTTCTGCTGGCTCTGCCCCGGATCTGCCATCTTGGCTGACGTTATAAGAAGTTATGATCTGAGCCACTCTTAATGCCTTCTCATTGGAAAGCATTGGATTGGCTAAGACTGTCAAGGAGGCAGATCAGGGGCAGAGCCAGCGCAAGCCAAACACAGCCCTGGCCAATCAGCATCTCCTCATAGATTCTTTGAATCAATGCCTCTATGAGGAAAGTTCAGTATCTCCATGCACAGGGTGGAGACACTGAGTGGCCGTGCTGCACAGCATGCAGCACTGCCCCAGGAAGCATATCTACTAGCAATGTGAGGAGTTGTCAGTGGAGGTATTGCTAGGCTGTAATGTAAACCCTGCATTTTCTCTGAAAAGACAGTGTTTACTGCAAAAGGCTTGCAGGAACTGATTATACAAATGAGAATAAATATGATAAGATGTGATTGTTCTGGTGACTATAGTGTCCCTTTTTAATCTCTCTGTATCCTAACTCCCCCTCTAATTGCTAATCCTCTTTTGTTGGTATCCCTACATATAATTGTTGCTACCATCAAGTCAATCTTGCAGGGTCTTTGCTTAAGCATCCTCTTTGGATATAGATGAGAATAAGAGGAGTCAGAGCCAGACAACTGCTGAATCCCACTCGCTGCTTTTAACTTAAAACCAAAGCATGAATATTCTATTTCTTAATATCCAATGCAGCACTCCACATTCTTATCTCCCTCATGAAGAACTACAGTATGCTCATCTGTACTGTATATCTTGGCTAATGAAATGATGGTCCTCCATAGACTAACCACTCTGTTAATGTGTTTGCAGCAAAATTTAGTAGTATACAGGTATGTAGTTTTTTTTTTTTTTTTTTTCTTCTATTATAGGTATCTGCCTCCTGAGTGTTTTGTTGTTGGTAAAGAACCCCCAAAAATCTCAAACAAGGTGGATGTATGGTCTGTTGGAGTCATATTCTATCAATGTCTGTATGGACGAAAGGTAAACTAGTTTGGTCTCCACTGTTTTAAGTGGTTTCCCCATCCAAAATTTCCTTCTCTAGGAATTGAAATAGTTTGATCAATTTCATATTTATTTATTCTTTTTAAATTGTACTTTTTTTACTCTCTCTGTAGCCTTTTGGACACAACCAGTCTCAGCAGGACATCTTGCAGGAAAATACCATTCTTAAAGCAACAGAGGTTCAGTTTCCTCCCAAACCTGTAGTGACGCCTGAAGCCAAGGTAATGCTTGTCATTTTTGGGTGTTTTTGCCAAAAAAGCTCTGCCTCTTATCAGCTTTTGTCAACCTTAGGCCTACACATAAGATAGGGGCAGGGCTTTGTAGAGTAATTTTGTCTGGGTCAATGCCACATGGACCAGAGGAGGCGTCCAGCGACTCACCAGGCCCCACAGTTACTCCAGAGGAATCTGAGGGCAGATACTGTTAGGCACCGATCCAGAACACCGTGTCCAGTGTTTCAGTGACAAAGGGGAGTGCGAAGAGTTGAGGAATTTGTCAAATGTGAACTACAGGTTAGGAGCTCTATCAAGCTGCGTCCTGTCGCCATAAGTCTTAGGCCCACCCTAAAACACCATATGTTTATCTTCAGTGTAATGAATCATTTGATAAATATGAATTAAAATTCTTATAAAAAGTAATTTAATTGCAGGTCAAACACACTTCCAAGTTTCCAGTAACTCTAAGTTCAGAATGTCACTCATTTGTGGTGTTATAAATAGTTTACTGTGTTTTATTTTCTCTAACTTCTACAGGCTTTCATCCGCCGTTGCCTCGCCTATAGGAAAGAGGATCGGATAGATGTCCACCAGTTGGCTTCTGACCCTTATTTACTGCCACACATCCGCAAGTCAGTCTCTACTAGTAGCCCAGCCAACGCGGCAATAGCATCAACGTCTGCTTCATCCAACAACAGTTTGTCAAACTGAAACAAGACTGAGAGCTGAATGGCCCCGTTAAACTCAGCTGGGTAATGCTGGCTGAGCAGTCACTTGGCTCCCTCTGGGTTAAGTTTCCTCCTTTTGTAGGAGAGTGGTGAATACTCCTTGGAGACGTTTCCTTTCTGGCTTAGTAGAGCCAAAGATAGATGGACTGGAAACAGTCTCTTGGGTGATCTGCAGTCCCTTCTGGAGTGGGCAACTACAATGACTTCTCTGGAGGCACCTTTTAAAATCTCAAGATAAGGGAGTGAGGGACTCTCCTCAGACTATATAAGCTGGACTCTAAACTCCTCCCTCTAACTACATATGTCTGAATTCTCCATATACACGCCCGATCAATACCAAGAAATGACTTTTACGGAGCATTTTTTTCTGGGAGTGTGTAAAAAAAGAAAAAAGGCCAGACTGGACTATTCCTGTGTTGATATTTAAACTTCTTCTGTTCCCCTTCATCCATTTTATTAAAGAAAACTTGATTAAAAAAATTACAGGAGGAGGCAAACCAAATACCTCCCTATAAGCCCCCATTCGTAATAAATAAGCAAAGGCTTTTCCAAGAAGTGAAAGTATTTTGTTACCTCTCCATTAATTGTATAATAATCTGGCAAGGCAAAAATCATAGTTTGTGAAGTGAAATCCATATTAATAGAGACAGAGGAAAAGTTTAGGTATTCCCTTTAATCAAAAAATGACTTCTGTTGATCCTGCTGTCATTGTTTGTTTTTGTTATTTTTGTCCTCTGTTTTGTTGAGCTTTAGTATGGTACTACAAAATATTGGGTTCTGTTCTATACACAACTACACAATGGACACAAAAAAATGCATGCTTGGGGAACACTGTATAAAGAGAAATTCTAGATCAGAGCTCTAAATGTGTAGCAAGCAACAGGAGTATTCATTGTTTTCCACGGTCATTGCTTTACCTTTAGAACTTTGCCTTAGAATTAGTCAACCTCTTTAGTAATTTCCTTCTCCTCTATCATTTATTTTAAATTGCATTTTTTTTTTCTTCCACAAAAAAAGTTATATAAAATATTTTCACTTTATAAAATTTAAACCTTTTTGTAAAGCCCACCCTTGGCGCTATTTGCAAAATTTATTGTTGGGTTTGAGCCATTGATGGTTTTGCAGATGCATGTAATATTTTGTTGATGCTGTTTGCTGTAACCTCCGGTGTTCCATGCTGCGTTTAAGTTATTAATTTTATATTTTTACTGTGTGCGGTGTCTGCCTATTAAGCTGGCTTACCATTGTGTTGACTTGAGGGGGTGGGGGGTAAAGTTAATGGATTCTAGAATAGCCATCTCCATTCATAGCCCTTAAGATGTTTGAGCAAATTTTCCAAAGACTTATTAAAGCTGGAAGGCCAAGCTATGGAGATCCCCACTACTGTTATCTGGGTTTTCAGTTTTAAAACTATAGCTTTCATGTCCGGTCCAGGTAAAATCACCCCAAAAAAGTAATGCATGTCTGTAATAGAATATGGATACAGAAGGGCATTTTCACTGCTCTGCACCTGTATGAATGCCTTACAGAGCTCTGAACATGTACACTTGGCTGTCTGAAAACCTTGCATGTCAGCGCATAGGCATTTGCCTGGCAAACCTCTTAACAAGTCTTTTAAACTTGAAAAAAAGAGCCCAGGGCATGGCTGGGCAGAAGTTTTAAAACTTGGAATTACAGATATCCAATTAATAAAAAGAAAGATTTCTATAAGTTTAAGCACATATAAATGCTGACTCTGTGTCTCATCTGATACATTTAGAATTCTCCTCAATCACATCAATGAGATTTTGAGACAAAACTCAACCATCTAATTTTGAGATCTCATTGGTTTAATTGATCATGATGATTTTGAAATGCCTTATACAATGGACATGGACCATAGGATTAAATATGGCTTTAGTGCTTCTTTAAAATACTGAATGTATGCATGGTGCGGTTATTTTTCCACATGCACAAAGGGTTATTTACGTATGATACTCCTGCAGTGCTGACATTTTCTTTGTCCTCCATTCCTTCACCAACACACGTCGACTATCATGTAGTCGGCATCCAGTAATGATACTTGAGGGGAAAGTGTATTCAGAGATAGTCACTACAAAATGAAAAAGTGCTTGAAACGGTTGGGCAAGGTGTTAATTACTGTGTTAATTTTTCAAGAGGTGAAGACTTCCTTTCCTTTGTGTATTCAGTGATTTTTATTTTTTTTTTCCCCTTTCTGACTTTTCATGTTATGATGTGAGCTTTTTAATTTGCCCTCCTTCCCAGAACTTATGCCTGAAGCTGTTATGTTCTTACCATTGGTTAACTCTTTCACAGAACTGAAACATTTCTTCATGTGGGTCCTTGTGGCAGTTAATAGTTTCACTATCGTTTGCAGCAATATTGCATTTTCAAACCATATGGAAGACTATTTCCAGTTAGTGACTGATCCTGCAATAGCTAACTTTGTTCTACTATGGTTACTGCATTAACTCTTATTTTAGAATGGAATTGCCATCATTCTTATTGCTTAAGCTTAATGAGCGTTTTAAATTTCCTTATATATTTTTCACTGCATTTGTGTGTGTGTATCGATATCCATATATTATACACACTTGCTATAAAAATATATGATCATACATACCATTCATCTTCATGTCAAAGTCCAGATTCAGAATACGTTGGTTAATATCGAACACTTTTCCTCTTGTTCCAAAAACTCTGCTTAGTGGTTTTTTGTTTTTTTTTTTGTTTCTGTATAATATGGGTTTCACTTTGCTTTAGTAAAATAAATTTAAAAATGTTTTTTGTTCATTTTAACTTGAAAGTGTATTTGGAAATGAAATGCAGGATAAAAATCCTAGAATAAAAAAAAAAAAACAACCAAAAAACAAAACTGATATTAAAATACATCTGGAGAAGTTGACTTAGATGTGTTGCTCTTTGATATGTGATCTGAATTGTTTTTTTGAATTTTATTTCCCAATCCAGCCCTCATCTAGTGAATCTGTTAGTTACCATTTGGTTTTTCATACAAATACATGGCCTCTGTACTATCTAGCGAGATTTTTTTTGGCCGGATTCTCTATAGACTTCAGTGCTGTACACTCTTGCATGCTGAAGAGCAGCATACTGAGGAAGATGGCGGCACCTGGAAGGGACAGGTTCAGGTAAGTAAATCTTACCTGCCAGCATACTGTCAATGGCGGGGTTCTTTGCTAATTCGGCAAGGTTCCCAGATGGTGACAGTGCTGCTTTAAATATAAACTCTAAAAATTAGGTAGATACAACCTCAGATATTCAACACATGACCTATTACATTGTCATTTATTTAACAAAAATAGTCAAAATAGAGAAGCCATGTGTGGGAGAACTAAGTATATCTTATTATTCAATCGCTTGTAGAACCACTTTTAGTTGCAATAACTTCAAGTAATTGTTTTCTGTATGATTTTATCAGTCTCTCACATAATTGTGGCGGAATTTCGACCCACTGTTCTTTACAATGTTTCTTCAGTTCAATGAGTTTTGCAGGCATTTGTCTATGCACAGCTCTCTAAATGTCCTGCCACAGCATTTCAGTCAGTATGATGAAGTCTTGACTTGGAATGGGCCATTGCAACACCTTGATTTTTTTTTTTTTTTTTCAGCCATTCTGTTGTAGATTTGCTGGTGTGCTTGGTATCATTGTCCTGTTGCATGACCCGATTTCGGCCAAGCATTCGCTTTCAGGCATAATGCTTTGTCATACAGAGGAGATCGTGGCCTACTAAATGATTGCAAGGTCCCCAGTCCTTGTGGCTTCGAAAACAAGCCAAAATAATCACCCCTCCACTACTGTGCTTGACAGTTGATATGAGTAGTCTGTGCTGTTCTACTGTTTAGTTTTCGCCAAACATGACGCTGTGCATTATGGTCATACATCTCCACTTTGATCTCATCTGCCCAAAGGACATTGTTCCTGAAGTTTTGTGGTCCATTCAGATGCTGGATGTTTTCTCCTGGCAACTCTTCCAAACAAACCATATTTGTTCAGTCTTTCTAATAGTACTGCCTTGAACTTTAATGTGCTGAGGCCTGTAGAGTCTGAGATGTAACTCTTGTTTGTGTTTGGTTTCCAATTTCTTTTAGCATTGCATGGACTGACCTTGGATGTCCCGGTAAATTCACCCCACTTCTGGAAAGATTGTCAATTATCTGAAGTGTCTTCCACTTTTTAATCTTTCTCACTGTAAAATAATGAATTTTAAATTTGTTTGAAAATGGCCTTATAACCCTTCCCTGTTTGATGGGCAGCAATAATAGCTTATCTTAGATTATTGTTAATTTCCTTTGAATTGTATTAACACACACCTGAATGGCTATAGAGGTAGTCACGCTTGCCGATAATCAGTTAATCAAAGGAATTTGATTTAGTACCTATCTGCTACTTAGCCTCTTAATTGGTATGGATGCAGTAAGGTTGTACTTAGTTTTTCATTTATGGCTTCTCCATTATGCTTTATTTTTTTTTTGTTAAATCATGACACTGTGTAATAAGCAGTTGTGTATTTTTGTTTTGTGCCTCTCTAATCTAAATTTGCCCCAATCTTTCTGTCAAGGCGGCACCTCTTCCTGTTTAAGACAACCATACACATGCCCTAACTGATACATACTCACTGACAGGCACACAGTCATTGGCACACACTTTAACCAACACACGCTTTCACTGACAGGCACACACTCTGATACGTACTCGCTGGCATCCACTCCACACACATTCACTGAGTCACACGCACACTCACGGACACAAGCATTCTCATGGATTTGGCACACTGACAGACAAAACATTTACTCAGACACACAAACTTAATGATTTGATACACACATTCACTCACAAAAAACTATTTGTGAGTATGACAATACAAAATCTAATTCTAACTTCAGTCCATCCAGCCTCCCTACTTTTGGGAGAGTTGGTGTGGATTCTTTACCTAAGCTCCAGTGTGGGGTTGCTGTGAATTTTCTTGCTCTGCCCTTGCGTGTTTAGTGATGCCGAGGCAGAAGTGACATATTTTGGCTCCTGGCATCATGGCAGGGTGCGCAAGGAAGCAGAGCAAGAACAGAGGATACCTTCCTTGTCACCCACCTCAGAGGAGGAGCCTTGAGGTGGCCAGCTCTTGGGCTCCTATGATATGAGGCTAACAAGACATCCTTTTTTTTTTTTTTCTTGCTGCCCCCTCCCCCCCCCCCGGAAAGTGTTGCCCATGGCAAATCACTTGTTAGCCTTACAGCGCTGGTAATGTCATATATTCATCTAAGGCATGGCTGTCCAACATGCGGCCCCCCCAGATGTTGCTGAACTACAACTCCCATGATTCCCTGGCTATCTGTTTAATTGAAATAATCATGGGAGTTGTAGTTAAGCAACATCCGGGGGCCGCAGGTTCGACAGGCCTGATCTACGGAACAGATTGCTTGATAAGTAAAACCACAGACTTCAAGGAGGGTGTTCTTTCTTTTTCTCATGATTCTAGTATCCAGTTAGTGTAATGATCTGGGGTTGTATGACTGCAAAATGTGAGGGCATATTTTGTGTGATGGTATGGTACTTTAAATGGGGGGCAAAAAATATAGCTGCGATGTATTTGATCTAAAACATAAGCCTTCGGCATCTAATCTATGTATAAAGCCTATATATTTCAACTGGTTTTAGGGCCTTATGTGTCGGCTGTGGGCAAAAAGTAGTTTCAGGAAAATCATATTACATTGCTAGAATGGCCATGTAATAGCCCTGACTTGAATACAATTGAAAATCTGTGGAGCCAATTAAAAAAAAATTGTTATTCAAAAGCAACCAAAGAATAAAAGACTATGTGAAACCAATATTATGATTGATCCTAACACCTGCAGAACTAAAAACCTAGATTCATTCCATGGGATACCATTTTAGTTTACGTTGGATTTCTTTGCTTTTTTTTTTTTGGCCCACATAGTTTCACTGTATAAATTCTTTTTAAAATGCATTTTTAATAAAAATGAAGTGTATTGCATTACATTCTGCATTAAAGTTGCCTTTACAATGATCTAGAAGTGGTTGGTCTAAAAAGAGTGATACTATGAGCCATCCAATATCAGAAATGCAAGTTTTCCATAATTTTGGACACTAGTATATATTACAATTTACTTTTATAAGACCGTTTAGGAGTCAACCTACAAAAAAACACTTAGAGGTCAACAAGTAAGCCGAATACAAAGTTGATAAATGACAAAGATGAAAACAAGGTACCGATTGGTTCCATCTCTTTATTACTTCCTTCTTCTTTTCTAAAGAAATGCAATTTCTGGAGTGCTTACCATCACTATTCAATTGAATATGCTTAGGAGTCATTATTTGCAGTTTATAAACCCAAGAGAACTACTAAATTACATTACTACTTGCAGTATGCTTTATATTTAAACACATTAGCCTGGCTGGCAAGATACGTCCCATCAAGGACATAAGTGCCCTCTATAAGATTAAAAGAATTGTAAACTACATGCTTATGTTTAGTTTGTTTAAGCTGTATGTTATTAACCCCATAACGCAATTAGTGTTCTACGCCGTTCGCACCGTTGTGGTAGCATAGGATGCCATTATTAAATAAATAACATAATAATGGCTTTGAGACCCAGGAGCCAGCAACTACTTGCATACATAGATCTGCCTGGGCTATCAGGCAGTCCCCCAAACCTGCAAAATGAAGAGAGAAAAAAATGTTAATGTCCAAAATATGTATGTGTATCTTATATATATATATATATATATATATATATATATATATATATAGATATAGATATAGATAAACATCACAAATACATATAATTATATATACACAGAATTTAGATATATATATATATGTACTCCTGAGTAAAACAGTACAGATCACCACTTAAGATTTGTACCAAGCTCCCAATCACCACCCTATGTGGCACTTTTCCCCCAACCAAAAAAGAAATGTACTTCCTAGTGCAAAAATGTTCATTAAGTCAATGAAAGAGTGCTCACAGGTTTTATTAAAGACCCTGGAGAGTCAAAACGTAGATTTATTTTAAACTGTTGTTCTTATGAATATAAAAGATACATTCTTTTTCTTTCTTTGAGGGGGGTAAGAGAAATATATATTTTATTTTTTTAAATTATTTTTTTAGTTGAGCCCATTCCTGCTTAGCTTTTCTTGTAGTGAGGGTATTCTTAATTTTATTTTATTTTTTTTCTTCAGACAATACCAGCTTAAAATAAGTTTATAGTGCTTCTTTGTTTAAGGCTTTGGTATAATTGTCATCATGAATATTCTATCTGTTCCCCTCTCTTCTCTCCTCCTTCCTTCCTCTCCTGTTTCTTATTCATTTGATATAACATATTCCTGGTCAACATACAGGTATAGCCCTCAACCAATTATCAATATTACAGTGTGTGTATATATATATATATATAGAGAGAGAGAGAGAGCTATTGCTATTTACTTAATTGACAGTTTAGATAGCGAGAGGGAAGGGGAGAAAAAATATATCAATATATATATAAATTCATGAGACAACGAAAAGACAACATAAATGCAAAAAAACCCTTCCATAACTATACACATTCGAACCGACATACATTAAACAGTTAAGTACAGTAAGTAGCTTTCCCCCTCTGCATTCTATCCTTTTCTCTTCCTTTTTTTTTTTAATTTTATTTCTTATTACTTTCTTCTCTTTTTCTCATTTCTTTTTTTTTTTTTTCCTTCTTTTCATTCTGTCTTATATATCCATTTATATCCATCAGTCACGGGGAAATATATAATCGGATCTATATTTATACCAATTTTTTTCAATTTCACTTGGGTGTGTTCCAAATAGTAATTCCTTTTCCTTTTGTTCTAATATTCCTAACCAGTTCAGCCATGTTTTAATCTCTCGATAATTTCTGATTTTATTGACCCCCATTTCCATTTGGATCTGGAATTTGATCTGCTGGTTAAGATGTAGCCTGGAAAAAAAACCTGTGTTTTCTTCCAGTTTCTAGCTATTATAATTTTAACAGCTACAAGGCAATGTGTAATCAGCACTTGTTCCAACTTTTACCTATTAAGCCAGTTTAAGTGAAGCAACACTGCTTCCGGTCTAAATTCTATTTTAATATTACCCATTCTCATTAGTATAGATAAAGCCATATGCCACAAAGGTACAACTCTTTTTTGCATTTCCACCATATGTGTAAATAATCTCCCCTGCTCTCTCCGCATCTCCAACAATTATCATCATTACGAGGTGAAATTCTTGTTAATTTGGATGGAACCATATACCGTTTATTAATTACTATATCATGTGTTTCAATTAGGGAGAGGCAATGAACGTATTTATGTCTTAACTAATGCAGCGAACCATTCCTCCTTGTCTATGGATATATCTAAAACTTTTTCCCAGCTCTTAATAACGGAGGGATAATCTTCTGAATTTCTAGAGTCTAATAATTTCACACATTTAGAAAACATTTTTTGTTTTCTTTACTATTGAAAATTGATTTTAAGGAATTATATATGACTCCTCTATTAAGAATTATTTTTTTCGCTAGATAACTTTGTACTCTTAAATAGGAGAAAAGCTCCCAATTAGGCAGATGAAATTCCCTCTTACAAGTTGAAGGTTTTCATCTTATTGTTATTCATAAATAAGTCTCCTATGTTTTTAATATTTGCCTCTTTCCAGTTTTTTAGAGAGATATTTAGGATATCTGATTCCAAGGTTTCTATTCTTTGAAAGTCCAAAATCTTGTCAAGATCTAATTTCTTTTTTAATTTTCCCCATATAGGTAAGATTTGTTTCAAAACAAACGAAACCGAATAGTCCGGATCCTTGCTGTTCCATATTACTCTAGATAAGTCTTTGATTTTACACATATCTGATTCTAACCAATACTCTCCCTCTGGGTCGTATTTGTTCTTTTGTAACATAGCAACATGGGATATAATTCCAGCTTCATAGTAGCAGTGAGGGTATTCTAATCTTCATTCCCTGGTGGTCTGTCAGTGGCATTGGCCCACTCCGTTTCCTCGTGATGGGTGCAGACCCCTCTAAAAGCTCCTTTCTGTTCCCTAAAGAGGAAGGAGAATCTGCAGCGAGCTGCTCAAGTCTGTGCAGGAAAGCTGTAGGTCTTCCCACCCTCTCCTAAAGGACTTATCACCAAATAGTTTACCCCTTCAGACCCTGCCTCCAAACTCAGCGCACCATTCAGCTGTCCCAGGGATTTCAGAGCACTGTGAGTGACCAGCTAACTGGAGCAAACTTTGAATTGCCTGGATATCCAAATAGGATGGCGGAGATGTCGCAATCCACAAAAACGTTTTTGAGGGTGCTCTCAGTCCCTAAAAAAAAAAAAAACAGTGCTATTTATAGAGGAGGTGGTGAGGCATCAAACCATACCAAGAACTTAAGGGAGCTGCATGTATAGATGATGCTCGTGGCCCTCTGAAAACTTGAAATCCAGACAATTCAGGCTAAAAATCTCCAATCCGAGTGCTTTTTGGACAGAATGGATGCTCCAGGGAGGGCACAAGTTTGGGGATCTGAGCAGGGGAACCCCATTTTTGTTATAAATTTATAATCTTTTAAATTATAGTAATTGTTAACCAGTGCCGAGGTGTCTGGCCACTAATCAAATTACTTTGTTAGGCACAGACACTCGCACTGTCTATTGTTTTCCTGGGGACAACCTGTTGAGGGCCCAGGTATAAAACTGTGCAATTCACTCAATAAAATCTGTAATAGCTATATAACAGCTATAATCACTGAGGGAATGGGTGTCCTTGGCTCAATATAATCTGTAATAAATATATCACAGCTATAATCACTGAGGGAATGGGTGTCCAACACTCGGGTCCCCTGCAAGTAGGCCTCCACAAAGGACATAAAAGCGAAGCAACTGAGAGGAGGAGAATTATGTTTGTTCAACTGTGTGCTCAAGTTCTAGTGTAAATTGGGGGCACGAGGAGAATAAGTTACAGTACAACAAGATGTCAAAATGTTTGTTAAAAAGGCAAGTGGTAGGGCGAGGAGTGTAATTATTACAGCAACTTACAAGAAGGTGGATTTTTTTTAATTTATTTTTTTATTTTATTTTTTTAAATAAAGGAACGAGTGACAGTTATGTACTAGGTGAAGTAATGAGTGATGGTTATGTACTAGGAATAGAGTTTTAATTACTGAGTTGAGTGACTGACACCCGGCTCAATGAAACAAAACTGCACGTTCTTGTTGAGTTGCCACTGACTTCAATAAGAACTCTGCAACTAAACTCTGGATAACCTTGCATCTGTACAATTGGCTGCGCTCTCCCCGAAGCTAAAGGCAACAGGCAACTTTAATTAACTTGATGTCGATCTCTGAGCAGTTCAGGGTTGTTGAGTGCTGTCAAGTTTAGCAGCTAAACTGGGACCGCATAAGATTAGTGATAATGCCACAGCAACGACAATTACCACCTCAGGGGAAAATAATCTCTTGGCCCTTCGTAAATACATTCTTAAATTCATGCAATTTAAACCGTAAAATTTGGTACGCACATCTTTAAATCTCAGACCGTTTTTTCTCATTTGTTTGAGCTTCCATTCTACGTCTCTTTATTATTATTATTATTATTTTATTTATTTTTTATTACATTACGACAGCATTGCAAGAATTCAACTTACATGAGATAAAACACATCTATGTCACATTACTTGTGTGTTGGGTTGACTAGCAGATGACAAAGATCTCTAATTACAGTTTCCGTTCTGCTCAGAAGGTTGTCTAGTGAACAACTTTCTTCTTAAAAGAACATTTTGACGTAGTGGTTTTGGAGCATCGATGCTGTCCAATTTCTCAGTGTAAACTGTTGCCGTTTTAGATAAATGCCAATATTTGTGATTGTCAGAGATCATGCCCCTGT